CATGTAGTACCTTGCCGTCCATGGATCATGGACCACATTTCTATTCTATGTGGGTCTGTAGGCTGTCTCCAGAGTCTTTCACGGATTGGGGGGCAGGGGTGTTAAGAGAGGGCAAATGACAAAAGTAGCATCACATCAATGTAAGACAAGTACCACCCTTTTTGTACATTCACTATGACATTTCTCCTTAAAAGCAATAGAGTTGCATTAGGATGGCACACTGTTGCTTTTGCTACAGTGATGAAAGCCTGCATCCTGTGGACATGTCTATGCTCCTGGTGGGCATAAATATTTCAGAGAGGCGAAGGGCCAGATTTATACAATAACATCCTTGAATGAATGTATTGGACAGGCAACACCTCCTCTTTTGGCTATCTAACTTCCAGTTTGCTGGAGAGCTCTGAAAATCGCCTCTCCTTTTTTGAGAGGAGACAAATTCACAACTTGCCAGGAAATTGCACTACCTCACAGGAAACAAAGCTCAAGTAGCAAAGGTGTTGCATTCACAGCTCACTCTAAGTCTCAATATCATATTAGTAGTGGCTCAAAACTCGGCCAGGCTTTATACAAGCCTGTTGTAAGAAAAGCAAAATCAGCAGTGAAGGAGAAACCTCTGTTCTCCCCAAATATTAAAGGTTCCTGAGTTGATGACATTGCTTCAGGCCATGTGCATTTTGACCAGTGGTTCTCAGCCTGTGGGTCGGGACCCCATTTGGGGTCGAACGACCATTTCACGGGGGTCACCAAACAACGTAGTCTGCCATTTTTTTCCCCCTTTTCCTTAGCTGTGCTACTCCCTTTTATTCTATTGGCTTTTGAAAGCCAATAGAATAGACTCTCTTGAATAGACTCCAATTCTATTGGCTTTCAAAAGCCAATAGGAATTGTCCAGGCTGTCTCTGCCCTGCTGAGCCCGCCAAAAGTCCCATTCTGCAAACGGTTCTGCACCAGTTGAGTAGTCCTCGACTTATGACTGGTTGAGTAGTCCTCGACTTACGACCAGTTGGGGGTCGTGGCATTAAAAAGGTTGAGAACCACTGATTTTGACCTTTTGACCATAGTAACTAGCAGACAACACAGAGGTGATGAATTCAGCATGTACTGCCTTTAGTAACCAATTGCGTAGCTTCTGGGCTACTACAAATGGCAACCCAAATTGAATAATTTTTCCAATTTTGAATTATCCTTGTACAGGAATGGGTGCAGTTGGTATACTAGCATATACAGATTAGGTCTCATTGACAATGGAGGAACTAGGAGCATTCCTGAAATCTATTGCTTTGGGGGAATCCAGAATAGACAATTTCCCACGTTCCAGATGAAGAAATACTCATTCATAGTATATAACCATTTTATTAGGTGTCTACATCCTCAACCTGCTGTCTGACCTGTACTGCATTGTAATACTTCTAAATCTTCTACAATCCTCTGAAAAAAAATATCTGAGGGCTTCATATATATGTTAAAATACTTCATCCAGTTTTGGTCGTCACAATGTAAAAAGATGTTGAGACTCCAGAAAGAGTGCAGAAAAGAGCAACAAAGATGATTAGACGGCTGGAGGCTAAAGCATATGAAGAACAGTTGCAGGAATTAGTATGTCTAGTCTAGTGAAAAGAAGGACTAGGGGAGACGTGATAGCAGTGTTCCAATATTTGATGGGCTGCCACAAAAATGAGGGGATCAACCTATTTTCCAAAGGACCAGAAGGCAAGACAAAAAACAATGGATCGAAACTAATCAAGGAGAGAAGCAACTTAGAACTAAGGAGAACTTTCCTAACAGTGAGAATAATCAACCAGAAGAACTGCTTGCCTTCAGAAGTGGTGGATGCTCCATCACTGGAGGCTTTCAAGAAGAGACTAAATGACCATTTATCTGAAATGGTATAGGGTCTCCTCCTTGAGCAGGGGGTTGGACTAGAAGATCTCCAAGGTCTCTTCCAACTCTATTATTCTATGTACTATGTTCTGTGTAGGTATGCACTATATCTGAAAACGTAGAGGTCATTCAAAAGTTTTTGAATATGTTGCTAAAAGTACACTTGTTATATAATATGCAATACTCTAATACCAGTGATACAATTTTTTTTCTTGACTGACTTAAATAACCACACCAGAAGTCAGTGGAAAAAAAAATAGATGACCCGGGAAAAGTTACGCTTTTAAATTAAATCCTCTCTAATGCCAGCTCCTCTTTGTTTGTGTCTTCTTCTGGACATTTTTCATCCGAGGCTGGTCAACACTTTTTTTTTGAGAACATCGGTAGGATTGAAATGCGATGATCCCAGAGTGTTTCTTAGACATGAACTTATTGTTGGAGGCCAACTGTTCCTTTTTTAAAAAAATTAAACAGAATACCTGACAAAATAAAATGACACAGTATTGGACACAATGAGACTCCTGGGCACTGGATCATTACCAATCTCCAAAAGTTTAAGATGATTCCCCTCTCACCCAAGTGTATAAATCAATGGAACTAAACCATCTGCATTCCAATTATCATTTATTTTCCAACACTGCCATATTGTGACAATGCAGAAAATCTCTATTCCTTCTCCCTGTGAAGGCCCCACGGTCAAAGCTGACATGCAAATATCAATAGAATCACCAGAAATGTTATCCCCTCCTCTCCACCTAATATTAAAAGCCTAACTTTATGTCATATTAAACATGCATGGTATAAACATGTTTAATATAATGCTACTGTATAATGAGATGGAATAATTTATTGTGGGATCAGAGGACACAGAGTAGATACATTTAACCATTCAGTTCCAAATTAAAAACATCCTATGCCAATGTGATTATTTTTTCTTAATGTTAACTCTGTATGAGGAACAATTTTGGATGGAACTACAGTAGCTAATGTTAACAGCAAGTCCCCTTACATTTCCAAGCCCATATGAAAACCAGTAGCCCCTTCACTTATTTCTTGAATGCATATTCCACTTTCCAAAAGTGGTGCCTTTAATGTTATGTACATCATAACTTGAAAAACCTTTTCAGAGAGGAAGTAACTTTCAAAGTAATTCTTATATGAAGAATACCGAAATTTACATTGTATGCAAACTGAAAATTATATTGTATGTAAACAAAAATCCACGTAGCTAAGCATATGATTAATTTTACAGTACCTAATAAATAGAGTGTTGTATTTGTTTTTGACTTTGTTGCAACATTTAAAAGATTAAAAAATATGACCAATTTGGTTATACATTTTTTTTTTACAACCCAGAAATGCTCCAGGTCATGTTTTCAACTCTTCTTACTCATCTCTATCTCTGCAAGAGCTATTAATTCTCTGGGCTTACATTCTTGATCAGGATATCCTATTTCCAGAGGGGGCTGAGGGGGGCAGGTCAGTGCCCTCCTCAGCCACCTGTGCCCTGGCCTCAGAGGCTACCTTCCACTGAGTTCAATGTGAGTTACCCTTGCAAGTACTGCCCACTGAACTGGGCCTGAAGTTCCATTGAGTCAAGCGCAGCCACATCCATCTGGCCAACACTCATGTCTACTAGCAGGAGCAATCTTTGAGAAGAGGTGCAGTTATTACGTCGGTCCTAAAGGCAACCCTGGGGAACTTTGGGAAGTGGGAGGTCCTTATGATCAAACATCCCAAAGTAAAATTTCTAAAATAGTTTGATGTAAGCAAAGTCTGGAAACTATAATAAGCTGTTGCACAATTAAAGAGAGCACTTTCGGGACATCTACAGGAATACGTAATAACTAAATATTCCATCTTTCTGTTCAGCAAGATGACTCAAAGCAGCTAACAGTCCAAAGAAAAAGTTGAGATTAAAATATCATGCCATGAAGAGTGTTGTCAACAAGGCAGATTCAATGCCTTCTTAAGAAAAGTAAAGTATGGCAGAGAAGATTTCAAAAAACTCCTTGGTGCTAGATCAGCGGTTCTCAACCTGTGGGTCGGGACCCCATTTGGGGTCAAACGACCATTTCACGGGGGTCGCCAAACAACGCAGTCTGCCATTTTTTCCCCCTTTTCCTTAGCTGTGCTACTCCCTTTTATTCTATTGGCTTTTGAAAGCCAATATAATAGACTCTCTTGAATAGAGTCCAATTCTATTGGCTTTCAAAAGCCAATAGGAATTGTCCAGGCTGTCTCTGCCCTGCTGAGCCCGCCAAAAGTCCCATTCTGCAAACGGTGTTGCACCAGTTGAGTAGTCCTCGACTTACGACCGGTTGAGTAGTCCTCGACTTACGACTGGTTGGGGGTCGCGGCATTAAAAAGGTTGAGAACCACCGTGCTAGATCAAAAGAATGAGTCTTACAGAGGAAACAAAAGCTTCCTGAGTGGTGGTCAATTCAGTGTGGCTACTTAATCACAAGGCTATTTCACTACCAAGCAAGATCAGATTCCCAGCCATTAATTTGCCCTGCTGTAGAGCAAGTTATTGAGGAACTCTAGTGGCCCTCTAAATTCTGAGCAGGGCTGCTGCAAGAAAAGCAGAATTAGGGTTCAGAGCAGCCAGCCTGCAAGAAGCCGATGGCCTGGCTCTCTGTGGCTAGCATTCCCCCCATCTCAACCCCTCTGCCGAGCCAAAACCTTGCTTATCAGCAGCCAAAGAGATGGTCCACTGGTAGCGATCAAGAGAGAAGGGAGCAGTTAGAGTGCAGTACTGCAGGCCACTTTAGCTGACTGTGTTCAGCAGGTCAGCGGTTCAAATCTCACCGGCTCAAGGTTGACTCAACCTTCCATCCTTCCGGGGTAGGTAAAATGAGGACCCAGATTGTTGGGGGCAATGTAAATATATATACACATTGCTTACTGGTGTACAGCGCTTAGAGAGTGCTTGCACTTAAAGCGGTATATAAGTCTCATAAATAAATAAATAAATAAATAAATAAATAAATAAATAAATAAAATCTCTGAGACAAGCAGAATCCCAACAGGCTGGCCAGCTGTTGCACCCAAAGCCAGGGACCAGCCCAAGGGAAAAGTTCCTGCTCCCCCCCCCTCCTGCTCTGCTGCCTCCCTACCTTGCAGTCTCTGATGCAGGAGCGCACAGAATAATCCTCGGCCTGCAGATATTTCTCCAGCAAAAGCTCGAACTCCTCGTATTTTTCCTGAGCGTGTTGGTCCAGCCTTTGATACGCCTCCAGGCAGCTGCTGCAGGCCTCCCCGCGCTGGGCTCCCGCGGCGGCAGACAGGAAATCCAGCAGCAGGTTGGGCAGGCTGCAGTCCAGGCTCTCCGGGCCGGCCATGCCGAGCAGCAGGTCCCAGGCCGTGTAAGCCTCGCAAAAGGGGAGGCGAAAGGTCCGAAAGTGGCCCTCCAGGAAGTCCAGCTGGGGAGAGGCGGCGGCGGCGGCGGCGAGCGCGGCGGCCGCGGGCAGCCTCAGAGGCACGGCGGCGAAGGCGGCCAGCGAGCCCTGCTGGAAGAGGCGCCGCCGGGAGCAGGCCGAGCTCAGGTCCGGGCGCCGAGCCGGGGCGGCGGCGGAGCAGTGCGGGGGGGCCGGCGGGGCGGGGCCCTGGGCGCTCTGGTTGCGCGGCCCTCCGGCCAGGGCGGCCCCGGGCGCCGGCAGGGCTACGCTCCCGGCCTCCTCAGCTCTGAGCCGGGCTCCGGCGGCGCCGCAGAGCCCCAGGCGGTCGGAGAGGAGGGCGGTGAGGAAGAGCAGCGAGCCCAGCGACCAACGCCATTTCGGGGCCCGCTCCGAGGCGGCGGCGGCGGCGGCGGCGGCGCACGGCTTCTCCGGCGGGGCGAGGCGGGCAGCTAGTGCGGCGGCGGCATTTTCTCGTGGCTGCATCCAAGCGCCGCCGGTCATATTTTTCGGGGGCGGCGCGGAGACGGCGGGGGGCCGCGCGGGGCGGGGGGCGGCGGCGACGGGGGGGCTGCCGGCCTCCGCCGCTCCTCTGGCTGCCCCCTCCCCGACCAGAGCGTCACCTACCGGCCTTGCCGCCGCCGCCGCCCAGGCGCGGGGGCCGGGTGGGGGGCGGCCCCATCGCGGCTCGCCCTGCGGCCGCCGACCAGACCCCGCCGGCTCCTCCTCCACGGCCGCGGAGCCCCGCGCGGACGCCCCCAGCCTCCCCCCGCGAGGCTGCTAAGGGCGGCCGCGGGCCGGCGCATGGTGCCGCGCCGCCGCGGCGCTTCTCAGCATGGCCAGCCCTGGCGGGAGGAGGCCGCGCCGCGCCGTCCCGGCATCCCCTCCCCTCGCCCGGACGTCCCGGCTGCTCGCTCCGGCGCTGCGGGCCTCACCGCTCGGCCCGCTTCATCTTCCTTCCCGACGGGCCCGCCTCGCTCGCTCCCCCCCCCCTCCCCGCCTCGGCCCTCCCGCCTCTCCCTCCGCAGCGGGCAGCCCTCACTCGCCTTTCCTCTTGCGCTTCAGGCCACTCCGGAGCGCCCGGGCGCGGCGGCCAGGCCTGTCCATCGCCCCCTCCCGCGCCCGCCGCTCGCCTTAGTCTGTCGCCATCTTCAGCCGGGCAGGGAACACCTTGAGAAATCGATCGGGTCGGGAAGGAGGGGGCGGCCAGAGGCGGGGGCGCATGCGCGCTCCTCGCCGAGGAATCCGAGGAACGCTGCCTTCTCCTGGCGCTCCTGCCGTCGCCACGGCGCCGCCGAACCCGCGGGCGCCATGCGGGACCGCGCGGGCTTCCGCCTCGCTCCCGCTCCGCCCGTCCCTGCGCCCGAGAGCCCGGCGCCTCCCCCGCCGCCCGCCCCGGAGCTGCCGAGGATCGCGGCCGCCGCCGCCCGTCCTTCCCCGGGGCAACGCGGCCCGCCCGCTGGCCCCGCGGAGCCTGCCGTGGTGCTGAAGGACAGCTCCCGGGCGGAGGAAAGCGCCGCGCTGAGCGGGAGCGAGCGGAGGAGAAGCCGCCTGGGCCGCGCGGCCGGGGAAGGCCTTAGCTCGGCGCCCGGCTTCCCGGGAGCGGTTAGTAGCGCGGCGCCGCTTGCGAGGCGTGGAGGGGACGTCCCGCGATAGAGAGGAGGGGCGACCGCCGGTGAGGCTCGGTAGCGGCGCCTCGAAAGTCTCATTGGCTTCCTTCACATTTCCCCGTGGCTGCCTCCTCCCATCATCAGCAGTCCGACCTCATCCGCTCCTCCACCCTTCCCGTCCAGGAAAACCAAGGCTAGGGAGTTTTGACCAAGGAAGGGGGCTCGTGAGCGTCAGCGGCTGTCCCTAAACTCAGCTGTTTGGGCAATTGTCATTCAATCTTCAACCTGAAAGTCCTGGAGCAAACGGATCGTTAATACCTATTCCATGTTTCAGATGCATACGTAAATGCTGAGACATCGTTGCTCTTTCTTTGGGATGACTTTTGACGGAGTTGCAACCAGAGTAGAATGACAGAAGAACAGATTTGGAAGGCATCTTGAAGGTCTTCTAGCCCAAGCTTAAGCCTCTGCCGTTCTGGACAAAAGCCTGGCCAAGCAATTCTTAAAACCTTCCTGCGATGGAGCACCCACAATTTCTGGAGGCAAGCCGTTTCCACTGATTAATTGTTCTCTCTGACAGGAGATTTCTCTTTAAAGGATCTCTCCTTGATAAGCTTCCGTCTGTTATTTCTTGTTCTGTCCACAGGTGCTTTGGAGAATAAGTTGGCCCCCTCTTCTTTGTAACATTTCCTCAAATATTGGAAGATGGCTTTAAAGTCACCTCTGGCCCTTCTCTTTGTTAGGCTGGACATAGCCATATGCAGATGTAATCCATCTGGTCCTGTAATTTAAACTCATCCAAAGGAAGTGAGGTCCATAAAACCCCTTTGTTCACCCCCCTTCCCCTTCATCGTATGACAGAATCCAGAGAGGGCAGAAATGGGGTTTTCCATAGTCGATAACTAGAGATGAAATATAATTGGATTCTGACAGGCGTATGTTGCAATGGTTCTCCTTTTTCTGTGGTTGGGTTGACTCAACATCTATAGACAGAGGTTGAATCTGAGGTGCCTGATACACAGAGTGTCTGTACGCTCTTGCCTGCTCCTATTCTTTAATAGCAGTACTAGGCTGCTAGGAAAAGTATTCCATCAGTCTGAAGACAGCTCTATATGTTCAATGCACATGCTTTGATCACCTCACACATGGACTGTTGTAGTGTGCTCTGCATGGAGCCACTGTTGAAAGCCACTCAGAAGTTGCAACTGCAATATTCCATCTCACATCACAACATGATGTGGAATTTAAACCACTGCAAACTAACAGTTTCTTAATTGGAGAAATGCTTAAGCACCATCAAGACTAGTGTAGGTAGAAGGCTGCAAGTTACAGCCCAACAGTCAAACAGATGTCTGATAAATAGAACTCTATTCATTAAAACATTTTTTCAGAGTATTTAATAGCTGCCAACTGGAGCCTGATAGCTTTGTGAAGTATGCTCATTTACATATATGCATGCATAGTGTGTGTATGTGTGTGTGCGCACGTGTGTGTGTGTGTGTGAGAGAGAGAGAGAGGGAGAGGGAGAGAGAGAGAGAGAGAGAGAGAGAGAGAGAGAGAGAGTGATTTAAGGTGTTTGCATATCTATTGCTTGATTATCTTTTTCAGGATGTTCCAAGGAATTGAAGTCAGACTTATTAGTCTGTGGTTTCCTGGATCAGTTGTTTTGTTTTGTTTTGCTTTTAAGATGGGAACCAGATCAGCTCTTTTCCAAGTCCTCTGGTAGTTCCCCCGTGCTCCAGGATCTATGAAAGATATGGTTCAATCTGCCAGCTCCTTCAGAATTCGGGAATGTAATCCGCCTGGTCCCAGTGATTTGAGCTCATCTAGAGTGGACTGGTATTCTCTTACCATTTTTTGCTTCTAATTTGTATTCCTAGTCTGTTTTTTATGGTTATGTTTTTGGTAGCTTGATCTGCGTTATCTTTTTGTGTGAAGACAGACACAAAGAATGAATTGAGCAACTCCGATTTTTCTCTACTGCCCATTATTTCCTTGCTATCTTCTCTTGTTAGTGCAGGGGTCCCTGACCCCTGGCCTGTGGACCAGCACTGGGCCACAGCATGCAGTCCACACAAACAAGCAAAGCCCCATCCATGGGATGCAGGCAGCACACAAAACCACGGACTCTCCAGTCTGCGGAAAATCCTTTCTCCACAGAACCAGTCTCTGGTGCCCAAAATTAGTGGAGCAATTGTTTCTTTGACTTTTTTCTTATTTTTTATATGTTGAAAGGAAATTATTATTATTATTATTATTATTGACATTTGTTGCAAATTTTACTTCATTCTGAGATTTGCTTTTCTCCGGGCTATTTGTTGGTATGTGTCCCTCTTTCCATTTTTTGTATTCCTTTATGTCTTTCAGTTTATCAGAGAGTTCTTTGTGTAATCATGCTGGTTTCTTTTGGATTTCTTGTTTTTCTTTTTCAGTGGTATTAAGCCGGATTATTGGGCTTTTATAATCATATTTTTCAAAGTTCCCCAAGTTTCCTGAGTTGTTTTTCCCTTTAAGATTTTCATCCATGGAATCCTTCCCAAGCTCTCTCTGAGTTTGTTAAAATCAGCTCTTTTAAAGTCTAAGACACTGGTTTTTATTATGTTCTATTGCTTGTGTTTTCATTAGATTGAATTCCAGTAAGACATGGTCTCTCTCCCCCAAAGTTCTGGCAGGTTCAGCCCCTTCTATCTCTTCCTCTCTATTAGTAAGAATTAGGTTCAGTATAGCTGTCCTTCTAATTCCCTCCTCTACCTTTTGGATGACAAAGTTGTCAGCTAAGTTGGTCCAGAACCTGTTCGATCTTCCATTTGATGCAATGAAACCCTTGTGGGATGAGGCTCTGGCCAAAAGGCAAGCGGGACCACCACACATATGGGGGGGGGGGGGAAATGGCAATTTGAGGATAAAAGTTTGCCACTCGCCTTGGTGGCATAAGGGCAGCCCAGCAGGAGGGAGATCTCCTTTTGGATCACAAGATCCAGCAAATTTCCAAGCAGAGAACTCCTAACTTCTTGTTTATTGGATTGACTGATTGATGGATCGATTCAATTTATACGCTGCCCATCTTGCTTTGGGAGCTGCATAACGCAATGAAATGATATCAAATGCAGTTATAAATATGGAAACAGAGTGACCAAAGTTAAGCAGAGAAACAGTGAAAGAAAAAGTCTGGGTTGGAAAGCAGACCGCTCGGAGATTATCACCAGCTGCTGCCGTTTTGTCTGACCAGTTTCTCGAGTGTGTGTGTGTCTCCTTGCGAGAAAATGGATCCCAAGGCAGCCCGAGCCAGAACAGCCTGAGAGAAGCCCAAGGATCCCAGCAGCAGATCCGCCCTGCTCCTGGCTGGTCCTTCTTGCGCTGGGACAGGTGCTGGCCAGAGGGAGGGCCAACTTAGCTGGAGGGCTCCATCTTGGGAAAGGCTGGCCTAGCAAGGAGACCGATTCGCCTTCAGAGAGAAGGAGGCTGTGCCATTGGCTTCTCCTGCCTGGTTTCAGACAGGCAAATCAAGGCAAGGAACAGACCTGCTACTCTTTCGTTTTCCAATTTTTCCCACAACCACCACCCTGCAAGGTGGGCTGGGCTGAGAGAGATTGGCCCAACGTCACCCAGCCAGCTTTCAGGCCTAAGGCAGGATTTGAAGTCAGAGCCTCCTGGCGATGGATGCAAACTCACCAAGCCAGCTTTCATGCCTAAGGCGGGACTAGAACTCAGCATCTCCTGCTGATTGGTCAAAGATACCCAGCCGCCTTTCACGCTTAAAGTGGAACTCAAACTCACCGTCTCCAGCCGCTTCACCCAAAGGGCTTTCACGCCTCAGACGTGACTTGAACTCAGCCTGCTTGAGGTAAACAGAACGAGATGTTTTGGTCTCTTGGCCCAATGGCTTAATAGCAAATTTGTCTGGGTGAATCCTTTCCTTGGTTGTCAATTTACTTGGCTTGCTCAGACTGAATCCACCTGAGATGACAAGTCCCCCCCACCCCCGTGCATGTGAGCCTGTTGCCGAGGGTCAGGCAGTGGCCGGGTGCCAGAGAAACGGTTCTTTGAGAATCCAAAGACAAAGAACACACACCCGTGAGGAAGCAGACTTCAAGTTTTACTGTCTACCCTTAGCAGGTAAATTAAATAGAAAAAAAGCGTAAGGTGCCAAGAATTCAAATTAAATCAATATTTAACTATTACAGTTATTAAACAAAATGAAAGAACATCATCATCTTGCCGCATAGGAAAAACCGTGGACAATAGAATTTTTTCATTGCTGTACTTGCAGGATGAGATCCAACAGAAGAGAATCTCTGTAGCACAGGGTTGAAATGGGGGGTCCTCGGGGCTCTCTTGAGCTCGGTTTTTCGCTTGCAGGCATCTCTTTACCAGACATCATTGATCATTAACACCATCCGTGCCAGTGTGTAAGGGGGGGGCGCGTTGCTCCCTATTGATGTACAATACAGTACTTTTCAACTTGCAACTGTTCATTGAGTGACCATTTGAAGTTACAACGGCACTGGGAAAAGTGACTTACGAGTGGTCTTCTCACTTACAACTATTGCAGCATCCCCATTCGTGGCTGCTTTGTCTGAATGCCAGGCTTCCCAAAATTCCCTGGCATTTTTGGATTTGGCTTGGCTGGGAGGGTCACCGTTCCCCAGTTGAAACTGTGGCTGAGTCCGTCCATGCAATTTGGCAGTTTTTATTGTGTCTTGTTTGCTAGTTGGTGTTCATGGATGAGCTGAGCCTGTCTGTCCTACACAATGGCTGTTGCTCTCCACGTTGTAGAATAGATGACTTCTAGTTTTTCTACTTGGGCTACTTAGCTGGTTTGTGTATTATGGTGATGCACTATAAACAACCTCAAGGAGCAACTGGAAAAACGATTAAACACAAGAATGCTGACAACCACCTTCAAGAATACATCTCTAAGACAAAAAAAGAAAAAGGAAAACAAAATTCCAAACCAAACTTCTCAACTAAACTCCAGAAACAAAGAGACAGATGAACCCAAATGGGCAGTCCACAGGCCCAACTGACCTCTATTTACTGCAGGCCACAATATACTCCAGAAAGACCTCAACTCAACATAGACAACGCTAATCAGTCAGAATTTGTTGCAACGTTAGAAGCAGTATTGAAAACCACAGGACTTCTTGCCCCTGGAGACCCAAGCAAAGAGAAGGCGGACAATCCTACCACAGACCACAAGAACACAGAATTGGAAGCCACACAGAGTAGAGGACAAAGCAGCCCTCAAAAATCTAAAGGACCAAATGATCCCCATCCAGTGGTGGGATTCAGCCAGCTCACACCACTTCAGCAGAACCGGCAGCTATTTTGAGTTACATATGAATTACAAGAAGGACGCCATGAAATGATTAATACTGCCTAGGATAATTAGCTATATCTATTATTATTACCTATTACTATATCTATTGTTGTTGTTTAAATATATGTACCCAGACAATATGCTGTTTGCTAAATATCGAAAATGTTACCTGGGTAAACCCTAGCCCCAACCCTAACCTAATCCTAACCCTGACCCCATTCTACCCTTAACCTTATAAAAATAAAACTTTTTTTTTAAAAAAAGAAATCCACCTGCATTTCTGTACTTGCTCCGTGGGGCAGGTGTAGAGGGTGGAAGGGAAGCCGGTCAAGCCTCAGCAGGGAAGGTCCCCTTCCCGTCTTTCCCTTCGGCTGACTTCCATTCTCAGCCCTCAGGAACGGTCCAGCTGAGTGAGAAGGGTTTGCCAAAAACGGTCGCAATAAAGGTGAGGAATTCATGGCTGGCTCAGTTGATGAGTGGAAGGGATCCCTGTCTTCTCCCTGATTCCTTCCTTGAAGGTGGAAACACCAAAGGCTGGAGGTTCCTCGGCCCATTCTTCCATTATAGGATTTGATGCTTCTTTCCATTTTTTGAGTGCATCCAATTCTCACTGCAGTCGCATATATGACGACAGAGTTCCATTTTCTTTTCCACTTTCTTATCCAATAGTCCTGAAAGAAAAAATTCTTCAGCAGCAGCAACTTGCTCCTCCCCCACCTCATTTTATCACCTTCCAACACTTCAGTCTTGGTTGCAATGCTTGGCTGTAGTAACTTCATCCAGCCACAAACACCTCCTAATGGCAGAAATCTGTGAATAATGGAGGCCGTTTGGGGGGGGGGGCTGCGGAATCTCACGGTGGACCCTTTGACAGGGCAGGGCAAAGAGGTTGTTGCGCGAAGCCCACCATCCTCCCTCCATGCCCTGCTGGGGGGAAAGGAGACCACAAGAGGCCGGTAGATTGAGCTCAGATGAAACTGGAGCCCAGATGTGGGGGGAGAATTGTTTGGGGGCAACATGTAGCATGGTGTACTGTTTGGGGGCAACATGTAGCATGGTATACTGTTTGTGTTACTATCATTTTGTTGGTGTTTACATTTGATTGTAAGGCACTGACCTGCCCAGGGATGGGCATCCATATCATTCTCTGCAATAAATAAAATAAAGAGAAGATGTTATTCCTGTGTGATCTGCTGTCCAGATACAAAATCATGGGGATCCCGACTAAGGAAGAATTCACATTCAGTCGGGGTCAGCTGGCTGGGAAGGGAGAGAGAGAGGTATCCCTTCTCCTTTCCTTCTCTTTTGATTATTTTTTTCACTTCAAATAAATTAATTAGCATTAGCAATGGCTGCTCTCCATAAAGGCACCCATACAGCTATTTGCTTCTGGACATTTCTCTCCCCTCCCCTCCCCTCCCCTCTTGCCTTCTGGGAATTCTCCTCCCCCATCACCTGGCAGCTGGACCATATTTGTGACATTTCCTTCCATGGGTCTCCGACAGCCAAGCAAACACACAGCCGGGCACTCTAAGCCAACAACCAAAGCAAAACACCGGCCTGCAGTCAGGCAGCCCAAAAGAGATATAAAGCAATGCCACCATTTAAGAGAAAGGCCTCCCCAGGGTGTAGCTAGTTTTTAAAGTTTGCGGGAGTCAGGAGGAGTCTCCAAGTGATGATGCCTGCCTCTTCCGGCTGCGGAGGTCCTTGGGCAGCAACAGTAGCTGTGGGGTGTGTGTGTGTGTGTGTGTGTGTGTGTGTGTGTGTGTGTGTGTGTGTGCCTCGGTCAGCCTGGCTAATGGAGTGGAAGAGCTCCCCCCCCCCCAGAAGGACAAGGCACTCATCTGGCTAGACTAGCAAGGAGCGCAAGAGGCCTTGGAGCTATCAGAGGGTAACCCTTGGAAACGGGCAGAGAGCAGGGAAAAGGAGAGTTGCAATTTGGGCAAGGGTGGCGGGTGAGCAAATGGGGAGGGTCTATTTTTGGGGAGGGGATGCAATAGGTAGGAAAATACCTACCTTGGTGCTTCTCCACAGTGATCGCTTTAGCGATCCATACTGGTGAAAGCCTAGGGAAGACAAGCTTGGTTGCAATAGCCTCATCCAACCACCAACACTTCTTAACAGGGCGAACGTCTGTAAATCGTTGGGGAGGCTGCTGGATCTCCTGGTGGAGCCTTTGCCAGGGCAGGGACGGAAGGCTTTTGCAGGAGTCTAACCTCTCCCCTACCTCTGCCCTGTTGGGGCGAGAGGAGACCGCAGGAAGCCGTAGATTGGGACGGGACGCGACTGGAGTCCAGAAGATGTATGGGGAGAGGTTTTTTTAGGGGGGGCACCGAGGAGAAGGCGTGTTTTTTCCCCTTCGTGGATGAGAGCAGGTGGGAGGGGTAGGAAGGCCATGGAACCGCCTCATTCATTGGCGGTGGGAGATGGGAGAAGAGGGGGAGAACGGTTCCTTCCGTGCCAGGGTGAATGCTGGCACTCACAGGAGGTAGCCTCCTCTCCCCCTTTCTGGGCTGGCACATGGGAGCTTCTGGGGGTTCTTTGAAGTCAACCTACTTTGAGCTGACTCCTGCACAGTCTGTGAGATTGGGTGCTTCTGCCTCAGCCAATGCCGTGGTTGGACTTAGCAGGCTGTAAGAATGCGGCTCTTACGTCTAACGCAGCGGTTCTCAACCTGGGGGTCGGGACCCCATTTGGGGTCAAAGGACCATTTCACGGGGTCACTAAACAACGCAGTCCGCCATTTTTTCCCCCTTTTCCTTAGCCGTGCTACTCTCATTTATTCTATTGGCTTTTGATAGGATAGCTGGCTCAGGAATTCTGGGAGTTGAAGTCCAGGAGTCATAAAAGAGCCAAGGTTGCCTACCCCTGGTTTAGGAAAAGGAGCTCGCTTCTGGGAGGGACCCGGGCGAGCACTAACCCCCCCCCCAAGCTAGAATGGCTTCCTTCGGCTTCGGGCATCACAGAGGCGGCAGAAGACCTGGGGGGCAGCGCTGCCCACGCATAACGGCTGCGGCTTTCGCATCTGGGGCAGGAGGGCGCGCAAGCCCGATCCAGCATCCACGGGGGAGCCCAGCGGGTCTCAAGGCGCCGCAGGAATAACAGAACAACAGGGTTGGAAGGGACCTTGGAGGTCTTCTAGTCCAGCCCGCGCTCGAGCAGGAGAGCCGGCCTATTCCATTCCGGACAAGTGCCTGTCCGGTCTCTTCTTAAAAGCCTCGCAATGATGGAGCAGCCACGGCTTCTGGAGGCGAGCCGTTCCACGGATTAATTAGGCAATTCCTCCTTAGCTCTAGCTTGCTTCTCTCCTTGACCGCTGCCCGTCCATTCCTCCGCAGGGCAGTCCGCCAGCCTCCCCCCGCTGCGCCCTCCCGGCCGGCGCTCCGCCACTCCCGCGCCTTCGTCGGCAGCAGGGCGTGCGAAGGCAGCACGCGCATGCGCGTTTCCCTGCTGTTCCACCGGCGCCCTCCAGAGGCCGCCTTGCCACAGCGCTGCCGGCCCGTCCGCCCCCCAGGCGCCTCAGCCGAGCGCCGAGCGAGCGAGCGAGCGGGCAGGTGCGCGCGCCGCCCAGTCCGGCTCTGCCGAGCGCCGATGCCGCCGGGCCCGGCCCGCGAAGGGCGTCGCGGCGGGGATGGCGCTGTCCCGGGGGCTGCGGTGCTGCCAGCGGGTCTTCGGCTGGGTGCCCGTCCTCATCATCGCGCTGGTGGTGCTCTGGTCCTACTACGCCTACGTCGTCGAGCTCTGCCTGGGTAGGAGGGCGCAGCGGGCTCCGGACCCATCCTCCCCGGCCCGGTCTGAAGGGCCCCCTCCTCCAGGGGTGTTGGCTACAACGCCCATCCTCCCCAGCCTGGTCTTCCTCAAGGGCCCCTCCTCCAATTGTGTTGGGCTACAACTCTCCCAGCTGCCTTCTGGGAACTGAGGATGATGGGGAATGTAGTCCCAGACTTCTGGGGACTTCCCTCCTGGAAATCTTTGGGAGGGGGGGTTGGGGTGGCTAATTCCCAGGTGGGGGGGCAGAATCACCTCTGTCCAGCGTTGCTTCCCAGATCTTGCAAGGGGGGCTACAACTCTCCCAGCTGCCTTCTGGGAACTGAGGATGATGGGGAATGTAGTCCCAGACCTCTGGGGACTTCCCTCCTGGAAATCTTTGGGGGGGGGGTTGGGGTGGCTAATTCCAAGGTGGGGGGGCAGAACCACCTCTGTCCAGCGTTGCTTCCCAGATCTTGCAAGGGGGGCAGGTCCGAGGGGAGCCCCTGCCCTCTGTCTGTGCCTGGACAGGTCGCCCCCCAACTCCTGCCCTAGTGCCCCGGCAGCTCTGGTGGTGAGTGGCCCCCTCGCCCACTTAGGAGCCTTTTTCCCCCAGGCATCCTAACCTAACAAACACATCCTGGCTTTTCATTTTGCCTTGCAAGGAAGCAAAAATGTAGCAGGTTGGTTCCTGCCCAGCTCCCTTTACACGTCTCCGCCTGTGGGGTGTGCAAAGCCAAGAAGTGAGCATGTTCGGGGGGGGGGCTCCCTAAGACTTTCTTTCTACAGTAGAAGCAAGAAGAGTAACTGGTTGACCTTAGGCAGTTGGTTTAAAGCAGTGGTTCTCAACCTTTCTAATGCTGTGACCCCATAATACAGTTCCCCATGTTGTGGTGACCCCCAAATGGGTGTGGCCACCAATAAGAGGGAGTAGGACAGCTGGGGAAAAGGGAAAAAAATGGCGGACAGCGTGGTTTGGCGACCCCTGTGAAATGGTCGTTTGACCCCAAATGGGGTCCCGACCCACAGGTTGAGAACCACTGGTTTAAAGCAAGGGTGGGGAACCCTGACCCTTTTATGACTTGTGGACTTCATCTCCCAGAATCTGGCTCAGGGATTCCGGGAGTTGAAGTCCACAAGACATAAAAGGGCCATGGTTCCCCACCCCTGGCTTAAAGCCAGACTAGCCCCTCTGGGGTAACCCGTGGGATCATTTGATTCGATGCTGCTGTCACCTGACTTCATAACTTCCCCCTCCTTGAACCAATACATGTGCTGTGCAAAGAGAACCAAGATGCAAGTAAAACCAGCTTGCATGGTGACTGTATCGGGCTGTGTGTGTGTCTCAAATAGGGTGTGTAAGAAGTGCTTCCAACATCATGCACCTCTGAGCTGCATTAAAGCAGCTATATTTTTTTGTTTGTTTCCGTGAGAGCTTGAAGAAAAAAAGGTGCTGCTGCTTTAAGCATCTCCTTTACTTTTAATGCAATGTTTCTCAACCCCAGCAATTTTAAGCTGCATGGACTTCAGTTCCCAGAATCCCCCAGTTTGGCTGAAACCAAGCCCGTTGTCTTTAGCAGAAACACTGTGTTCACATTAGGGCAAAATCATTTATCCTCCATTGTTTTTTGAAGCCTGCCAAGTACAGTTTGTTTAGGATTCAGGGTGCCATATCAACACAGGCAATTGGGGAGGTTTCTTACAACAATCTGCTAAGGTAGCTCAGTGTGATTATCAGCATTACAGGGAATGGGGGGGGGTTAAATTTGATTAGGACTTTGTTAACGCTATGTGGTAAATTTGAGGCAGGCCCCACTTGGTTCTTAACAATTGGACTTTGCAGTATCTAAAAAGGTTAAATCATGGCAATTGGACCAAAGTTTATTGAATTGAGACGTTTTGTTACTCATCCAACTAACTTCTTCAATCAAAATGAAAAAATTAAGTTAGGCAGAGTTAGAGAGTAGCTGGAATGTATTAACTCTTGCCATACCAACTGCAGCGGTTTCTCCCCAAAATGTATTGCAAAAGTAAATGAAGACTCAATCAACCAGGCCAAAAGCATCTAAAAAGGTTAAATCATGGCAACCGGAGCAAAGATTATTAAAACATCTGGAGTCTGCAGTCTCCACTTAGGCCTTTTAGTTCTGACTGCGGGGTCCTTCAAGAGCCTCCCTGGCTACATTTCATCATTCAGGAGAGAAAATATAGATAGCCCCCCAACCACTCATGTATTGGAACCAAGTTCCATAGTTGAGATGTCTGCAACACAATTCCCTCTTCTGCTGTGACTCATTCCTTCGTGTGGCCTCCTAGATAGACTGGAGCAAAAATCAAAGTGGTAGTAAAGCTCTTGGTCTCCAGAAAATAGCTCACCCATTTACATAATGATCCTTGTTGGAGAATTGGGCTAGAAGATAGACTGTTGTCCCAGCAACCGGCAGATGAAGCCAGGACATGAAATCAAGGGTGGGCTTGTGCAATCTTGCTAGAGGAGGAAGAAAAAAGAACAAGCCTTCAGGGAGCTCTAAAGCAGTGTTTCTCAACCTTGACAATTTTAAGGCATGTGGACTTCATGCCTTAAAGTCCACATGCCTTAAAATTGTCAAGGTTGAGAAACACTGCTCTAAAGGTAGAAAGATCCCTTTCTCTTCAAGAGACCCCTGAAGTTGGTGGCACCAGAGAAGACCAACCGTATTGACCACGAGCTCACCTTCACTTAAGGAGGGAACAGACTTGGCTGTAAAATTGTTTCAAAGCAAGTGTGAGCCACTCCATTTATACAGGAATTTAAAGCAGCTGGTGGCTTGTTGAAAATCACATAGATTCAGTTAATTAATACTGAGTTTGCATCACAGATAAACAGAAGGTGGTTGGGTTTTAATTTGCCTCCAGCTCAGTTTTTCAGATTGTGTGTGCATGCGCATGCATGCTGTCCCAGAAAGGTTTGTCTTGCCAGGCTCACTTTGGCAAACAGCAATACGGGCAAAGCCTGTGCTTTTATTTATACTGAGGGGCCGTAGTCTGCAGCGGGATTCTGCGTCTCGGCAGAAACCCATGATACCTCTGAGGGGTAAGGCAAAGGTGCAGCTGTAAGATTACCCCCTAGAAATGCTTTCTACCTGATAACCAAGCAAGAAAGAGTCACAGGACTCATTTTTGTTATGTTTACGCAGTGTATATTGAAGGTGGTTACCCTTTGAGAGGTGTATGCAACAAAATCTCATTTTAATGTATGCTGATTAGTGTACATGTAAAGTGACAATAAAGCTGTTCTATTCTATTCTATTCTATTCTATTCTATTCTATTCTATTCTATTCTATTCTATTCTATTCTATTCCATTCCATTCCATTCCATTCCATTCCATTATAGAGTATCTGCTGTCCTTCTGTCTTCAGAGTCCAAACATCTCTGCATTCCAGCGCCACAAAATAATGCAAAAATTAACAAACAGCTACAGAAGGGCCTTTTTGAAAGGCAGTTTGCTTGAACTTGCTGCCAGTTACAACCGTCCTTCCACATCCTATTTTGGAGAATGAGGCTGTACCTTGCAGGTTTGGGGGAAGGAAGATACAGCCTGGGCACCAATGGGGGTGTGTGAACAATTCCAGGAGTTCAAGCAGCCACATAAGAGACTATTTGGAGTTGGTGCTAAATGTCAATAGGAGCCCAGTAGATTGGGGAGGGGGGCAGTCCAGCAGCAGATTCAGCAGCAGCAAGAGTCTCACAGAATTGTCTTTAACAAGGTTATTGGCAGGGAACGGGATAAGATTACAGAAATTTCTGCAACAAGATTGCTTTTACTTTAGAATCAAAATCCTAGGGCTGGTGGAGATCTTAGAGGTCTTGTAGTCCAACCCTCGCCCCAAGGCAGGAGTCTTTATACTATCCTGCACAAATGGCTGTCTAATCTTTTCTTGAAAACCTCCAGTATTGGAGCATCCACAAATCCGGGATGATCTGTTCCATTGCTCTCACTGTCAAGAAATCCCTCCTTAGTTCTGTAGGATGCTAAGAAAAAGACACAGGCATGTCTTGAGCAGAGGTTTGAAGCTGCAGGACACAGCTTGACAAACTCTTGAGTTTATTCCTTCTTATATACTTTTTACATACATAGGCTTTGCCATTAACTGCCGACATTTTACATTTAGAAGTTTAACCTTTAGCTGTTGACATAAAGTAATTGAAAAATTCCTTCATATAAGCAATTATTTTCTAGCAACATATTACATGGTCAGAGATCAGGTAAAGACAAATACAGGTAGATGAAAGACAGGAAGAGATAAAGATGGGAAGAGATAAGGGAAGGAACTAAGCATATTATCTGTTTAGGTAGGTAAGATATTAAATCAAAAGGGGGTGATCTTTTGGCTGCTTCCTTGGGACAAAGGATATCAAAAGGTTATGAGGTTTGTGGGGGGGAAAGCATGGCAGTTTGCTGCGCGTGCAAATTCCCCCACAAGTTCCAGATAGGATCTCTCTTTAATGAGCTTCCACCCATTTCTTCTTGTCCTGCCTTCAGGTGCTGTGGAAAATAGCTCCACCCCTTTTGTCTGTGACACCTCTTCAGGTATTGGAAGACCGCTATCATGTCACCCCTAAGCCATCTCTTCATTAGGCTAGACATAAATAAATAATAGAATAACAGAGTTGGAAGGGACCTTGGAGGTCTTCTAGTCCAACCCCCTGCTCAGGCAGGAGACCCTATAGCATTCCAGACAAGTGGCTGTCCCGTCTCTTCTTAAAAGCCTCCAGTGACGAAGCACCCGCAACATCTGAAGGCAAAGCTGGTTGATTGTTCTCACTGTTAGGAAGTTTCTCCTTAGTTTTAGGCTGCTTCTCTCCTTGATTAGTTTCCAACCATTGCTTCTTGTCTTGCCTTCTGGTGCTTTGGACAATAGGTTGAATCCCCTCTCCTTCTTTGTGGCACTCCTTCAAATATTGGAGGACTGCTATCATGTCATCCCTTGTCCTTCCTTTCACTAGATTAGACATACCTAATTCCTGCAACTGTTCTTCCGGTCAAAGTAGATGCCTAGTTTCCTTAACCATTCATCATATGGTTTATCCTGCAAACCTTCTTATCGACTTTGCTACTCTTCTCTGCAGTCTCTCTAGGGCAGGGGTGTCAAACTGCCGGCCTGTGGGCTGAATGCCTCATGCTGAAAGCGTGCCCACCCCATTGCCAACAATGGGGAAAAAGTCGTGATACGTCGCGACACGTCACGTGACGTTTCGAGTTTGACATCCCTGCTCTAGGGCCTCAATCTTTTCTGTATCGTGGTGACCAGAATTGAATGCAGTATTCCAAGTGTGGCCTCACTAGTACAGTAAAAAAGGGGCACTATCACTTCTCATGATTTAGAACCCAACTGATCTTTCAGCAGATAATTTTTCAATTTTTAATATGGGGTTTTCTCTGAAGGAAAGAGCCAGCTGCTTTCTTCCCAAAACATAGGAATTTGCAGGTGGCTGCTGTTTTCCTGAATCTTAATTAGGTTATCAACAGATAATTACAGTTGGTAGTGCTTCCTTTTGCATCGCACCCATTTTTCCTTGGCTGTTCCTGGCCTTCAATTCATTTTTTCCTAAGTGAATCATGCATGGTACTGCATTATTTCCTGGATATAAAGAATAGGTAAATTGTTAGGATTAATTATCAAGGCCTGTCACTTTCAGCCATTCATGCTTTCCATCATTTTCCACAGCAGGCTGCATGGATGTCTGGTTCAAATTTGAATCCAAATGTCAGCTGCATAGCCCTGTGTTGAGTAAGGCCCAGATGTATGCTCTGTATGTGTTTTCATGATGCCCTGTTCATTCATTCATTCATTCATTCATTCATTCATTCATTCATTCATTCATTCTTTGACTTCTTTCTGCCCTCTCCTTCAAAAAGAACCTTTCCAGCACCACAATTCTGCTTTAATACTCTGCATAGTCCTTGGAGAACTTCTCAGCCTAATTATTGTTGTGAGGATAAAAGGGGACCAAATCCACAATGAAAGAACCTGTGATAAACACACAAAGTATTTGTAAATATACAATGCTCTTTTCTTTTCCAGTTTAGAAAAAGGGTAAAGCCATTTTGCTTCAGCTTGTTACTGTATACCCGCTCAGAAGGAAGCCACCTTCTTTTGAGGAGAGTAGGATTATAAAAGGAACTTGGAGCATGGCAAGTGATTTTTGCAGCACAGCAGCTGTGACACAGCAGAAAAGACAGTTGGTTTTTGGCTGCTCTATCCAGAGGCATATCCTGGGCTTCCCTTCTCTTGCCTTGAAAGAGAAGCACTCCTGGAAAGAATAGAAGCCCCATCCAACTGAAGGTGGGCAGGTCTGAATGTCTTTGAACTGGTGTAAATGCTGATTCACAGGTTAGCTTCAAGAAGCAGGCAGGCAAATGAGTTGGACCGGTAGTTCAAGAAGGAGCAAAAGATAAATAAGATTTATTATTATTACTGCTATTCTCCTTTATTAATATTATACACCAAGTAAGGGAGGTAAGTAAATAAACAGATGTAATCTTTCAAAATCATCTAATTCAGATGGAAAAGAGAGAAGATCCTGACCTCATTCATGAAAGTAGAAAAAATGGGAGAGTAGAATAGAGTAGAACTTCCGTGGGAGGCTTAGTAAATCTGTAGCAGATCAGCAACCAGTTCCCGACCCACTTGAATCCCCCCTCAAGCTCTCATCCTTTCCATGAATGAGCTTGTTGAAAAAGAATCTGGTGTTATGGTTCCGGCTAACGAAACACTTCAGAGAACTTCCAGGCATTGATTTCCCTAAAAGTCTTTTATTGCTTCAAAATGTTGGCACGGGCATAACTGAAGGTTTATGCTAAGATCTAAGTTCCTCTGAGCAGTTAAATTATCAGCATGTTCCCTCCCTAAATTAGCTGTCATATATCACATTATCCAATTAGTGTGAAGGTCAAAGGTTTCCTTCCTCTTTCTTTCCCGGGCTTTACCCCCACCTTCTTCTGCTCTGTATTAACCCCAAAAATACCAGACAGTTCTGCATATTGTCAAAGCAAGAATATACAGTATTTGCAGCGTTGACATCTTGCTTAAGTCTGGCAAGATTCTGTCTGTAGGGGAACAACAACAAAGTAGCTACTCAGAAGTAACTCCACGTGCCATGCTTGGTTCTTGGGGGTCTTACAGTTGTAAGGATAATGAATCAAGTGAATAAGTGAGTATCAATGCAGTGGAATTAATAATATAACGATTTATGACTCATAAAGTAAAAATTAATTTCAGACACAGTCAACGTATGCATAAAGGCAAGCATATTTTTTTGTGGAAACCTTGATACGCCATTTGAATATGTTCTTTTTTTTTCTCTTTCAGTGACTCTGACGAACTCTGTAGAAAAAGGTACGTGGATATTTATTATATCTGGTCTTTGTACTTTAGATCTCTTTGCAGTCACCTCCTGTGATGATACAGTGTGATTATCCCAGTGTAGACAGAGATGGGAAGGGCTGATTGACCGGACTTTTCCACCTCAATTGCAGTTGAGGTTGATGGAAATGCAGAGGATCCCCAGGCCCTGCCTAAAATAAGACTTTGGAAGTCTCCACCACTCCTGGACGGATGTAAGCGAGTCTAGGTTGCACTCCAGTAATTAAGGGAACATGCAAGGGAGTAGCTGGGCCTTGGAGATCCAGTGTCTAATTCAGGGATAGTCAACCTTGGCTCTTTTATGACTCATGGACTTCAACTCCCAGAATTCCTGAGCCAGCTAAGCTGGGAGTTGAAGTCCACGAGTCATAAAAGAGCCAAGGTTGACTACCCCTGGTCTAATTGCTTGCTTAGCCAGGACGCTTGAGTGATTATTTTATATTTTATATATTTTATATTTTATTTTATTCTGTCTTCTTATTTTTTATTTTATTTTTTATTTATTTTAATTTTATTTTTTTATATATTTTTATTTCATTTTATTTTAAGTTTTAGCTCCCCATCTTACTACGGGGTAGCTCTGGGCAGCTTACCATAAAATTCAGCTCCCCATTTAAGCTGAGGGAAGTCTTAGCAGTTCTGAGCTTGAGGAAGGGTTAGATTCTTTTCCTCCATAGTCCCTTTCTTGACTGAATCCATATCCTCCCCCTCCCTCTCCCTCTGCAGCTTGTGTTTGAAACTATATCCTTTCTTTTTTTGTATTCCTGGCCAGTTGAAGAAACCAGTGCTCAGGTAATATAGCGAGAAAACTAACTTGCTTTCTCGTGGGATGATTGTTTTTTTCTGAGGCGTCTCACTTCCCATAATAAGCATTTTTTTCTTCTTCTGTTCAATCATGTCCGATTTTTGGAGACTGCCTGTGCAGGTCTCTTCTGTTTTCTTGGCAAGTTTTTTTCAGAAATGGTTTTCCATTGCCTCTTGTCTTGGGCTGAGAGAAAGTGACGAACCCAACGGGTTTGGGGCCTAAGGTAGGACTAGAATTCATGGAATCCTCTTTTCTAGCCTGAGGCCTTAACTAGAGTTGCTTTGAATCACAAGCCAAGTGGCGTATACATTTAAATAAATAAACCCTGATTCCATATGGATTCTCCCCAGTCTTAAGCATAGAGAAATTAAGAGAGGTGTATATTGTTTAATGTGAAAGTTAAGGATTCTGTTAAAGGATTAAGAGCAAAATGGGCATTTCTGCTTCCTGGTTAATGCTTTTCTTCTTGTTTAGTGGCCTACCTCACCGTATTCCATATCATCTTTGTATTCTTCATATGGACATATTGGAAGTCTATATTTACTCCTCCACTACAACCAGACAAAAAGGTAAAACTCGGGAATTTTATAAAGAGACTAACCAGTCTTCCCCAACCTGGGTGCCTTCCAAATGTGTGTCTGTGGAGATTCTCCATCATCCAGGTCCTGGTTGTCCCAAAGGTGCTTTTTCACCTGGCAACTGGACTTCCTTGTTTTTCTTTGAAGACGTTTCGCTTCTCATCCAAGAAGCTTCTTCAGCTCTGACTGGATGGTGGGGAATGGAGGATTTATACTCCTTGCAGACAGCTGGTCATTTGCATTCTTTTAGAGGGTCATTGAGGCCACTTTTAGAGGGTCATTGAGGCCACTTGGAGGGTCACCTGGGTAGTTTTTATTTTTTTTAAAAAAAACCCATAAATGCTTGGCCTAGGAGAACCAACCTATCAGGACAAGATTCAGGAGTCGCATAGCCAGATCTGAGAATTGGGCGCCCAAATACCTAAGTTCAACTTTTTCCCCTCCCTTAACTGCCTCCCACTGCTGCCCCCCCAGTGACCAATCAGGTTCAAGCAAGATGGTTTCAGAAGAGTCACTTCAAACGTAGGTTGGTATACAGTTGCCTTGTTTTCCCACACGACCCAGGAATTCTGGGAGTTGAAGTCCACAGGTACATAAAGCCCACATAAAGGGGCCATAGTTCCCCACCCCGTTCTACAACCAGGTGTGTGTTTCACTTTTTTTCTTCTACTGCCAGTTCCACATGTCGTATGCTGACAAGGAACGCTACGAAAACGAAGAAAGGCCCGAGGGCCAGAGGCAGATCCTAGCCGAGATGGCCCGGAAGTTGCCAGTTTACACAAGAACAGGGAATGGCGGTGAGTTTCTAAGATGGCTTGGGCGAAGTCCACCTATGCAGCATCTCATACAGACACCCCTCTTTTGGAGAACTTTTGGGGTGACAAACAGCATCATCAAAATCAGTGATGACAAAATGTTTGGCTTTTGTGGTAAAGGTGAAAGACAGATAAGGCATTCATTCATTCCGGCTCATAAAATCAAAATATAGGCCTTGTGATAACATTACAGCCTTTTCCCTGGCTGGCTTTATCATTTTCACTCTAGCTAAAATTTACACTGTGATTTCTAGATGCCAGTTGGAATTGGAAAACTCGAAGTGGGGTGAATTCAGATCTGGGAAATTGTCCCTTTTGGCTGGTAATTCTGGAAAACGTCATCCAAAATATATCTGAAGGGCACAAATTGGGGAAAACTCATCTAATGATTGCTTGTTTTGCTATTGAATGTAAAGGTGTCCACTATTGAATGCACTGGTTTTTTTTTTTCTGATTCTTGCTTCTGATTTCACAGGAGTAGATAGTGAATAAATAATAGCAGCATTTATATCCAGGATAAACAGTTACATGCTGAAATTCAGTGGTAAATCCATGGCAAATCAGCATCATGATTTGCCATTTGTATCCAGTAGGGACTAACAAATCATTAGACAAGCTTAGTTCACCTAAAAAGCATGGTAGAATCCCCTGAGAAGCTGTACCAAAAAAGCTGAAGGAATTGGACCCACTCTGATATGGGAAGTTGACCAAGCATCCCAGAAAGAGGAAGTGTTAAATAACTTCCGTTGTCAAGAAATGATTTTGTCCACAAAGTCATCAGCTCAGCCTGAATGAAGCACATATCTCTGCAGCATAATTTGTCTCCTATAGCATTCAGCCACGTAGAAAGTATAATTCCCTGGTTTATATAAGGCACTGCCTATATTCAAAGTAGCCCTCAAATCTTGCCTTGGTCCCACGTTTCTCAAAGTTGGCAAACTTTAAGATATATGGACTTCAATTCCCAGAATTCCCCATGCTGGTTGGGAATTCTGGGAGTTAAGGTTCACACACCTTAAAGATGCCAAAGTTGAGAAACACTGCCTTCTAGTAACCAGTTTATAAGACAGATTTTGCACTCGTGATAATGATTAACTAAATCATGATTAACATGATTTTTGCCATATTCCTTCCAGCCATCCGATTCTGTGATAGATGTCAGCTGATCAAACCTGACCGTTGTCACCATTGCTCAGTTTGTGCTGTGTAAGTTTTACTCTTTTCATCCACAACTAATGCGGCTTGAAGGCTAGCTCAACAATTGTGCAGGATGTTGTTGACTGGACACATAAAAAGAAATAGTTTTGCTTGTTCTTGATTGCACAACCTGACATATACCACTCCCACCCCACCCCCAGGGACCCAGTCCTATCCTGTGTGTGTGTGTCTGTATGTGTGTCTGTATGTCTGTATGTCTGTCTGTCTATCTATCTATCTATCTATCTATCTATCACTTTCTCTATCATCTATCTGTCTGTCTGCCTGCCTGCCTGCCTACCTGCCTATTTATGTGCACGGACATTCTGAAGATTTTAATTACATCAGTGAAAGCAAATACCGACTAAACTCAGAGAGAGGAAAAGTATAAAGAAAAAAAATAAGTGCAAAAAAGAAAAAGCAAGATTAAAAAGAAATACACGAAGAAGTGACTTTGGCTGTATTAGAAATAATTAATGTCATGTATTGCTGAAGTTAACTTTCTAAATTTTCATACACCTCAAGGAAGAGGACTTTAAAAAAAAAGAATAGAGAGAGAAGGGAAGAAGCTATGTTGGTAAACATCCCAATGTTGTTTTTATCTTGGAGATTTTTCAGGTTTAAAAGGTACAATTGGACAGTCTGTTTATAATGAAATGCATTGGAACAATGAAACAATAGTTTTTCTCCTTTTGGAAATTACAAATGCCAGCAGTGAATTGGATCTGACTTTGGCACTGACTGGAATGCAGGACTTGTTTGCCAAGGGAGCAGGCAAAACATGGTCATCTGCTGGCTTATGCCTTGACTTGTTAGCTGATGTTAGAACGGATGCAGAGTAATGACATGCCAGCTTGGAAGGGTTGCCCCTTTGTTCTTTCCCAGGAGCAAAACACTAGTTGCTATGACAGATGAGAAATATGTACAAAGGAAGCTTTATGCTGTAAATATCCCAGCTCACGTATACGTGATCCGTGCTGCCAGATCCACCAGTTTGAGCCTGCTAATGTTTGTCAGCCTTGCCAGGTAGAACAGTTTATGATACACAGACAGATAACCTAATTCTACTTTATTGTACAGCTGCATTAACAGAATCTTGCAAGTCTGAAAGTACAATTCTCTTGCCGTTACCTTTACCTTGAGTTAACAGCAGTCCATTTAGTGATCGTTCAAAGTGACTTAGGACCATTTTTCACACTTATGACCACTGCAGCACCCCCATGGCCATGTGATTTATATTCAGATGCTTGACAACTGACATGTATTTACGACGGTTGCAGTGTCCCGAAGTCATGTCTTCCCCTTTTGTGATCTTCTGACAAGCAAAGTCAATAGGGAAAGCAGATTCAGTTCCTAACAACCGTGTTACTAATTTAATAAATGCAGTGATTCACTTAGCAGTCAAATGGGGCGAAGCTCACGTAAGAAATTTCTCACTTGATAACATAAATTTTGGGTTCAGTTGTGGTCCTAAGTTGAGGACTAGATATAGTCTGTTAGCATAAGGAGAATCCCTCCTGAGCCTTCCCCCCCCCTCCGTCCATTATGCAGCTGTGGGCTCTCCCTTTTATCTGTGGGTTCTCCAGGTAGTTAGTATCTCTTCACCTGATCTCCCGTGGTCATTCATACATGCCATTACATGTCTCTAGGTTAGGCTCTCTTTTGCAGAGGATCTTCTGGGCCTTAGTCAAAATATTGAGTGAGAAGAAGTTGGAAACTGACACACATTTTAGATGCCCAAGAAGGCTATTGGGAGATTATCCTGCTGTGTTTACCAGTCAGAAGGCCAATTAGCTGTGAATTGGTGGAGGGTGGGATCGTTGTGCTAAGAAACAGAGGATAGGAGAAATGGTGTTCAAAGGACTGCAGGCAAGGTTGACTCTCTTTGAAAAATTAGCCTAACGGTGGGCTTTTGCTTGGGAAAAGGTAATGTTCCCTGGTGAAATTGACCCCTTTGTAATACTCAAAGGGCCTTCTTCCCTTCTCCCTTCCCTTCTTCCTGTTCATCCTGCCTTGTCTTCCTTTGTGATTTTATAGACAAGGCATCTACTTTCGCAGGCACATAATTTCAGTTATTATTGCAGGGGTGTGTGTGTTGTCCAGTACCTTTTTTTTTTTTTTTAGTTGTGTTGCTCCTGGCAGGTATAGATAGAAGAATATACTTGTTGGGGAGGACAAAATCTCCAAGCTAACTTTGAGCTGAAGGGGGCAACCCTCAGTTAAAAAAGAAAATGGATGAGCTTGACATTGCATAGAATTTTTGTGGATGTTTATTTTTATCTGTAGGTTATTGAGAGGGTATCAATAAATATCCCTTCTCTAGAATAAAAATGGGAATGGGGATAGGAGAGGGCAGAGCAGAACAGAACAGAACAGAATAGAATAGAATATGAAATAGAATAGAATATGGAATAGAATATGGAATGGAATGGAATGGATGGAATGGAATGGAATAGAGTAGAGTAGAGTAGAATAGAATAGAATAGAATAGAATAGAATAGAATAGAATAGAATAGAATAGAATAGAATAGAATTCTTTATTGGCCAAGTGTGATTGGACACACGAATTTGTGTCAGCTCTGAGTGTACACACCAACAATAAAGTGATAGGTCATAGATCATAGATATAATCATTAATCATAATATACAATAACATCATATAGATAGAAGGTAGTAGTAAGCTGAGAAGATGAGGAAGAGGAGAAGATAAGAAGGATAGGAGCCCTCCTACTTGGATAAATGTAGTCTATATCTTGACTGTCAGCAACGTTTGCCTGGTACCCAGAGCAATTTTCTGCATGGCTTTAAATCTATGCAAACCACAGTACTGCAGCAGTTAGAGTGCAGTACTGCAGGCCACTTTAGCTGACTGTGTTCAGCAGGTCAGCAGTTCAAATCTCACCGGCTCCAGGTTGACTCAGCCTTCCATCCTTCCGGGGTAGGTAAAATGAGGACCCAGATTGTTGGGGGCAATGTAAAATATATATATATATATACATTGCTTACTGGTGTACACCGCTTAGAGAGTGCTTGCACTTAAAGCGTTATATAAGTCTCATAAATAAATAAATAAAATATTCCCTGAAGAGCTGGTAGCCAACAGCTGCATCTCTTTTTCAAAGGATAACCAAGATGTAAGATACCACAACCACGTTCTGTGTTGTACATGCAATAACAAAAAGTCTCACAAGGGGGCGTCATGTCAAAAGAGATTTCCTGGAAAATTAAATTGCAGCCCAGAAATTTTATTGCTCACTAATAAATGACATCACCTTTAAGAAAACAAATAGAATCCTGGATTATGAATAATCCAGAAAAGAACAATGACGTCTGGGCTTCTTTTCCTCTTCATGTGGTCCCTGACATTTTTCTCTTTTTCTAATAGGTGCGTGTTAAAAATGGACCATCATTGCCCCTGGTAAGGACTCTTGAGGAGAGTCATTTCATTAATCCACCATATACACATTAAAGTGTTTCAGGGACAGAGCTGCATCAATTTCTGAAATTGACCAGCTCAGTCCACCAACACTGCTTAAAATTTAGAACTCCAACTTTGGTTCAGCTACTCCAGTAAACATTCATATGAAACAGTGTGCACGCGCGCACACAGACACACACACAAATTAATATGCATAGAAATGTGCAAAAATGTGCCATGGATCCATTATGCATTATGCACATGAAATGGCATTCTTGATGCAAAGCCTTGCACCTTTTCACCACTGGCTTGAGAAATATTGACTCAATCCATTTGTGCTTTTGAACCACCTGCCAAAAGAAAACAGAATATCCCATTGGTGAGTTTACACTATTTCTGTTTCTGCTACTCAGAAAGAAGGACTGGGTGTTATATCTCAAGTGTAAAAGTTCTGTGTTAATTTTTACCTTTCCAAAATTTAGAAAGGAGGTTTAGAATCTCGTATTAACAGGAATTCTCATTTTACCTCTCTTTCGTGCAGGTTCTCCTTAGTATATGTGCACTGATATGTTTTGAGGGGATTCCACAAATGCATAATAAATGGAACCATGCCATCTTGCCATGTGTGTTCCAGCTACTTGGTTTTATTTCTTTGACCTTACTCTCCACAAAAATGGAGGCACAGAATGTCTTCCCAATAAGTTTGAACTAGAGGGATTTTTTTAAAAAAATAGAAAAAATCTAAAATATACAAAAGGGAATTGTAGGCCTGGGCGTTGTTACAAAGAGAAAGGAGCATTTTCGTGCATTGGTTTCTTAGGTTTGTATTTTAGGTCACTGTTTCTCAACCTTAGCAACTTTAAGAGGTGTGTGGACTTCAACTCCCAGAATTCCCCAGCCAGCAAAGATGAGAAAGACGGCCGTAGAGCAAAGCAAGGTCTGCCTCTCAAATATTGTTCATTCCCTGGGGCCTTTCAAAAAGTTAAAACTCTAAAGCAGTGTTTGTCGATCTTGGCAAGTTTAAAATGTGTGCACTGCAACTCCCAGAATTCCTCAGCCAGCCTTGGGAATTGGTCCACACATCTTAAAGTTGCTAAGGTTGAGAAACACTCATTTAGAGATTTCAGATGCTTTCCAAGTTAGAGATAGTTACAATAAGAAAAAATGTAGTTATGTATGCAGATAGAGTTCATTCTCTATGAATGACTAGGGTGTCAAGCTGCTGGCCAGTGGGCCGGATGCATCGTAACAAAACCGCACCCACCCCATTGCCGGCAATGGCAAAAAAGTTGTGATACGTCGCGACACGTCACGTGACGTTGCAAGTTTGACAACCCTGGACTAGATTAAAGATGCAGCAAGAATTACTCGATGAAGGCTGGAATACACCATGAAATGAAATGAATATTTACAAATTACTGGAAGGATAAAACCAGATCTTAATAATGAAGAGGGGACATGAAGAAAAAAGAATTTGAAATACTTGTACAGTAGCTGGACGCTCTGGAGAGGATTGGTCAAATCCTGGGCTCTGTGCAGTGGTACAGAAATTAAAATTACATTGGAGGCTTTCATTTTTGGACATTCCATATCCCGAAGAAAGAAGAATACAAAGAATTATTAGGGAAGAAAATTACTATCCCAGTTTTCTTAAGCAAGGGCTAAAATGCAGTAAAACAAGGAAGTCAGGTCTAACCATATCCTAGTCTGGAGGGCAATTTAAGTCTTGATCTGAGATCAGTGTCTAGGGAGGGAATTCAAACTGCTTCTGGAAGAGGCAGGTACACCTGGAAGGGGGCTGGAGGGAGGGAGGGAATTGGGTGGGCTGGGACTGTCCCCAGGGACTGTACACAGCTCTTGGCCCATGGACTGTGTACGCAGGGACTCTCCTGTGGGCTGGGGGTTGACATTGAGCCGCCTCAGAGAAACAAAGGTGCTTGTTGCTGCTTTTGCTTTTCATAGCATCATTTCTCCAAAGGTATTTTGATTTTACCTTCCTTCTTATTTTCGTCACTTTTTTTTCCCTTTAGGGTGAACAACTGCATCGGCTTTTCTAACTACAAGTTCTTCCTACTGTTTTTAGCCTACTCTCTGTTGTACTGCACGTTTATTGCAACAACAGTCTTCAAGTATTTCATCAAATACTGGACAGTAAGTTGGGGAACCTGATTACTGCTTACTTTCTGCATATCATTGGAGTCTGAAATCTTCCGGGCTCAAAACCAGTGCTATGATCTAGTCCAGGGCTTTTCAACCTTTCCACCCATTGTATCACTTTTAGGATATGGCAATATCCGAGGACCACCAGTCGCCTAGCAAGGTGTCAAAAACTTGGTGACCCAAAAAAAAGGAAAAAAGTGATAAAGTAGAGGTAGTCCTTGACTTACAACAGTGGTTCTCAACCTTTTTAATGCCGCGACCCCCAACCGGTCGTAAATCGAGGACTACTCAACCGATCGTAAGTCGAGGACTAATCAACTGGTGCAGCACCGTTTGCAGAATGGGACTTTTGGAGGGCTCAGCAGGGCAGAGACAGCCTGGACCATTCCTATTGGCTTTTGAAAGCCAATAGAATTAGACTCTATTCAAGAGAGTCTATTCTATTGGCTTTCAAAAGCCAATAAAATAAAAGGGAGTAGCACAGCTAAGGAAAAGGGGGAAAAAAATGGCGGACTGCGTTGTTTGGCGACCCCCGTGAAATGGTCGTTCGACCCCAAATGAGGTCCCGACCCACAGGTTGAGAACCACTAACTTACAACAATTCGCTTAGTGACTGTTTGAAGTTACAATGGCACTGAAAAAAGTGCCCCCCAAGCCACAGCCGAGCAAGACACCTGCCTGCCCACCCAGTGTCGCTCTTCCTCCTGTCCGAGGTTTTCATTGCTGTTGAGGATTGGCAGCGGAGGTGGGGGGGTGTTTGGTTTTTATTCCCCCCCCCCCGTCTGCTGGGTGGTTGCAGTAGGTTTTAGTCACTTCACATGACCCTGGACACTGTGACCATCATAAATAGTTGCCAAGCATCTGAATGTAAATCACAAGACCCTGGAGATGCTGCAACATTCCAGCTGATCGGCGCTTCTTCTGGGCTCAGTGGAAGCACCAGGATCCACGCCGAGCTCCAGCTGATTGGTGCTTCTTGAGGGCTTAGCAGAAGCACCAGGATCAGCACCGAGCTCCAGCTGGAGCCTGGCGCTGATCCTGATGCTTCCGCTGAACCCTGACAGCCCTGCAACTACAGCCATCTCTTGCTCAGGCTTATGCAGTGCTGCCACCGGTTCAGCTCATTCCCCTCCCCCGCTACCACTTTTCTAGGATGGTTGCGTACCACCTGTCAGGTACCAATGTACCACAGGTGGTACCCATACCACTGGTTGAAAAGCCCTGATCTAGGAGGAACTCACCACTTTCTGAACAGAAGGCCAACGGAAGAAAGTTACCATTGTGCAAGGGATTACTACAGTCATTACTTTTCAAAACTGGGGAAGTTCTTTTCTACTTCAGTAGCATTTTAGCATCTAGACTTGTATACCACTTCATAGTGCTTTACTCTGAGTAGCATATTGGCCCCCCAGCAATCTGGGCCCTCATTTTTCGACCTCGGAAGGATGGAAGGATGAGTCAACCTTGAGCCGGTCAGGATCGAACTGCTGGCAGGCAGCAGGCAGCAGAAATAGCCTGCAGTACTGCCTTTTAACCACTGTGCCACCATGGCTCACAGTGTTCAAACAAGTGTCCTTCCCCATTTATCATTAAAATATATACTGGAACCTATTCCTCTCTCATTCAGCTGTTTTGTCTTGTAGACAGTATCAGTATAACAGAGTTGTAAGGGACCTTGGAGGTCTTCTAGTCCAACCTATGCCTAAGCTGGAGACTCTATTCCAGGGTAGGCAACCTTGGCTCTTTTATGACTCGTGGACTTCAACTCCCAGAATTCCTGAGCCAGCATGGCTCAGTTTGGAAACCTCTCCCTTTCCCCTCAGCATGGCTGGCTCAGGAATTCTGGGAGCTGAAGTCCATGAGGCATAAAAGAGCCAAGGTTGCCTACCTCTGGCCTAGGCCTAGGCCCCTTCATGACTCGTGGACTTCAACTCCCAGAATTCCCGAGCCAGCATGGCTCAGCTTGGAAACCTCTCCCTTTCCCCTCAGCATGGCTGGCTCAGGAATTCTGGGAGCTGAAGTCCACGAGGCATAAAAGAGCCAAGGTTCCCTACCCTGGCTCCATACCATTCTGGACAAATGGCTGTCCAGTCTTTTCCTAAAAACCTCTGGTGATGGAGCACCCACAACTTCTGGAGGGAAGCCCCCACTGGTCAATTGTTTTCTCTCTCAGGAAATGTCTCCTTAGTTCCAGATTGCGTCTGTCTTGATTAGTTTCCAACCTTCTTGTCTGGTGCTCAGCTGCTTTGTGGTCAGGGCTTCAGGGTCTCTATGCTGGGGATTTCTGGGAGTTGAAGTCCATGCTTCTTACATTTGCTGAAGTTAAGAAACAGTACAGATAGTCCTCAACTGAGGTTAAGAAACAGTACACATAGTCCTCAACAATTGAGCTCAACATTTCTGTTGCTAGGTGAGACAGTTTTTAAGCGTATCACTGCAATAGATAAGGTAGTAACATGGTTGTTAAGCAAATCTGGTTTCTCCATTAATTTTGGTTGTCAGAGGTGGCAGAAGGAGATCACATGACCCCGGGACACTGCGGCCGTCATAAATACATGTGTATGAATTTTGATCAGAGGATTTTGGGGATGCTGCAATGCTTGTAAGTGTGAAAAGTAATTATATCACTTTTCTCAGGGCCGTTGTAACTTTGAACAGTCACTAAATGAACCGTTGTAAGTTGAGAACTACCGGTCCTCTAAAAACTGCCCACCAGCTATTGGAACAGAACTTTCTAACTCTCAGTAGCCTTGACCACAGACTAGCAGTGAGGAAGCAGGGAGAGGCAATTCAGCCACGTCTGGAAGGCAACAGATTCCCTCCTGCTGGCCCATTATGGCTGGTAGGGATATTCCCTGGTCCCAGGGGTAGGCCACCTTGGCTCTTTTATGACTGGTGGACTTCAACTCCCAGAATTTCTGAGCCAGCTGTGCTGAGGGGAAAGGGAGAGGTTTCCAAGCTGAGCCGTGCTGGCTCAGGAATTCTGGGAGTTGAAGTCCACCAGTCCTAAAAGAGCCAAGATTGCGTACTCCTCTAAACTAATAAAGTCTACATTAATTAACATTAATTATGCTTTCATATGTTCCTCTAGGTCAGGGGTAGGCAACCTTGGCTCTTTTATGACCTGTGGACTTCAACTCCCAGAATTCCTGAGCCAGCCATGCTGAGGGGAAAGGGAGAGGTTTCCAAGCTGAGCCATGCTGGCTCAGGAATTCTGGGAGTTGAAGTCCCCAGTCATAAAGTGGCCTAGGCCTAGGCCAGAGGTAGGCAACCCTGGCTCTTTTATGACTCGTGGACCTCAACTCTCAGAATTCCTGAGCCAGCCATGCTGAGGGGAAAGGGAGAGGTTTCCAAGCTGAGCTGTGCTGGCTCAGGAATTCTGGGAGTTGAAGTCCACGAGTCATAAAAGAGCCAAGGTGGCCTACCCCTGCCTGGTTCTGCAGATCTGCAAGAACAAGAACACGCCTGCTCTTTTAATGCTCTGCGGATCTCTCCTTTCACGTGCTCTCGTTTTCCTTTGCAGGCTGAGCCAAGCAGTGGTCATTCCAGGTTCCACGTCCTCTTTCTTCTTTTTGTGGCAGTCATGTTTCTGGTCAGCCTGTTGTTCCTCTTTGGCTACCACTGCTGGCTCGTCAGTCAAAACAGATCGACTCTAGGTAAGGCACTCACCCCTTCGGGAAGAAAGTTACGGGCAAGGCCGATTTGTACCAGCCCATTTTCAGCGACCAAATTGACTGATAGGCATTCCAGAATCCAAGAAGGTTCCCCAGTTCCCCACTCTGGAATCCTGGAATCCTTGTACACATGTTTTTTGCTTCATATTTGTTGCTTAGTCATAGAGTCATAGAGTCAGCAGGGATTTTTTTTTGGGGGGGGGGGACTTTTAGCCCAGCCAAGAATCCAGGTCCTCGATGGAGCCTCCATGAATCCAGGGGACAAGTGGTCCCACCAACAAAGGGCTCTCACGGTCCAGAACAGTGTTTCTCAATCTCAACAACTTTAAGATGTGTAGACTGCAACTCTCAGAATTCTCCAGCCAGCGCTGATTAAGGTTGTTAAAGTTGAGAAACACTGGTCAAAAATTCCTCCTTAATTCATTGGTTTTTGTTCTTATTCCACCGACATCTTTCTTTATGAAAAGGTATTACCCATTATTTTAATACAGTTAAGACGACCCAAGACCAGTTGGACCATCCCTGTCAGATAGATTTCCTTTCCTAAGCAGAGAATGCTGGCCTAACCCCCTGCGGTGTTGCTGATATGGTCAAAACTTTCCAAAATTTCATTCTAATAGGTGGAATGGAGCCGGCCATTCTATAAGTTAACCAGTTTGAGGCATCTAGGAAAGGGGTAGGCAACCTTGGCTCTTTTATGACTCGTGGACTTCAACTCCCAGAATTCCTGAGCCAGCCACGCTGAGGGGAAAGGGAGAGGTTTCCAAGCTGAGCCATGCAGGCTCAGGAATTCTGGGAGTTGAAGTCCATGAGTCATCAAGGGAGCCATAGTTCCCCCATGCTGGCTCAGGAATTCTGGGAGTTGAAGTCCACAAGTCATCAAGGGAGCCATAGTTCCCCCATGCTGGCTCAGGAATTCTGGGAGTTGAAGTCCACCAGTCATGAGGGGGCCATAGTTCCCCCATGCTGGCTCAGGAATTCTGGGAGTTGGTCCACGAGTCATCAAGGGAGCCATAGTTCCCCCATGCTGGCTCAGGAATTCTGGGAGTTGAAGTCCACGAGTCATAAAAGAGCCCAGGCTGCCTACCCCTGGCCTAGGTTAAAGACGTTATGCCCTATGGTGAGCATTTTTTCTACTTAAAAGTTACAGGAAAGAGAGATTTAATACTGGTAGTCCTCGGCTTATAACCATTCATTTAGTGACCATGGTGGCTGAGTGGTTAGAGTGCAGTTCTGCAGGCTACTTCTGCTGACTGCCACCTGCCTGCAGTTTGGCAGTTTGATTCTCACCGGCTCAAGGTCGACTCAGCCTCTCATCCTTCTGAGGTCGGTAAAATAAGGACCCAGATTGTTGGGAATAACATGCTGACTCTGTAAGCCGTTTAGAGAGGGGCTGTAAAGCACTGTGAAGCGGTATATAAGTCTAAGTGCTACTGCTATTGCTATTAAAAGTTACAGCAGCACTGAAAAAGGGGATTTATGGCCATTGTTTACATTGCAGCATCCCCACGGTCACGTGATCAAAATTCAGGCACTTGGGGTCACGTGATCCCCTTTTGTGACCTTCCCAGCTGGCTTGTGACAAGCAAAGTTAGTGGAGGGAAGCCAAGTTTGCCTAACAACTGCATGGTTCATTTAACTGCAGTGATTCATTTAACAGCTGTTAAACTAACCAAGGAGACAAGCAGCCTAGAACTAAGGAAAAATTTCCTAAGGGCGAGAGCAATCTACAAGAAAACAAGCAAGCTCTGATCCCCTCATATCAACCCTGAGTTACAAATATTCTCCTTTATTAGTCCCAGTGGAACAGTTTGGCTTCAGAAGATGGGGGTGCTCTATCACTGGAGGCTGGGCAGTCATTTATCTAAAATGGTCTAGGGCAGGGGTAGGCAACCTTGGCTCTTTTATGACTCATGAACTCCCAGAATTCCTGAGCCAGCCTGGCTCAGCTTGGAAACCTTTCCCTTTCCCCTCAGCACGGCTGGCTGAGGAATTCTGGGAGTTGAAGTCCACCAGTCATAAAAGAGCCAAGGTGGCCTACCTCTGGTATAGGGTCCCCTGCTTGAGCGGGGAGTTGGACTAGAAGACCTCCAAGGTCCCTTCCAACGTTAGTGTTCTATGATCCTCCTTACCCTACAGGAGGAAAGCCTGTTTGACATCTTAAAACATCTCCCTAGGTGCAGGCACGCAACTTGGGTGTCCTCCTGGACTCACAGCTAAATTTGGAACAACATCTATCGGCTGTGGCCAGGGGGACCTTTGCACAGGTTCGCCTGGTGCACCAGTTGCGGCCTTATTTGGACTGGGAGGCTTTACTCACGGTCACTCATGCCCTTGTCACCTCAAGACTGGATTACTGTAACGTGCTCTACATGGGGCTACCCTTGAAGAGCGTTCGGAGGCTGCAGTTGGTTCAGAATGCAGCCGCGAGAGCGATTGTGGGCGGGCCAAGGTACGCCCACGTGTCACCTATCCTCCGCAAGCTGCACTGGCTTCCTGTGGGTCTCCGGACGCAATTCAAGGTGTTGGTTATCACCTTTAAAGCCCTTCATGGCATAGGGCCAGGTTACTTACAAGACCGCATATTGCCGCACAGTTCCCAGAGACCGGTGAGGTCCCACAGATTGGGCCTCCTTCAGGTCCCGTCGGCCAGACAATGTCGGCTGGCGGGCCCTCGGGGAAGGGCCTTTTCTGTGGTGGCTCCGACCTGGTGGAATCAACTTCCCCCTGAGGTTCGAACTACTCCCACCCTGCCGGCCTTTAAGAAGGCCGTTAAAACTCTCCTGTTCCGGCAGGCCTGGGGCTGATGTCCCCGGGGGGGGGGGGCGGGACATGATCGGACTTGCGGTATGATTGTATTATTTTATTGTTTTATTCTCGATGATTGTTTTAATTTTGTACGCCGCCCTGAGTACTTTGGGATTGGGCGGCATGTAAATAAATTAAATAAATAAATAAATAAATAAATCTTCCCACGAGATTGTGAAAGCACTGGCTCAGATTCCGCTTGGCTGGCTGGCCTTCCCTGTGCTGAAACCGCAGGATGTTGTCAGGTGTCAGCTGATCTCTAGCAGGCGCTGCCCCGGAAAATCCTCTCTTATTGGGGTCCTCTTTCCAGCGCCTGAGACAGTCTTCTGTTTTGCTGCAGAGGCTTTCTCGGCTCCCGTGTTCTCCAGCGGCCTGGATAAAAACGGTTTCAACCTCGGCTTTGTCAGAAACCTCCAGCAAGTATTTGGGGAAGAAAAGAGACTCTGGTTTTTCCCGGTGATGTCCAGGTGAGTAGAAAGCAACCTGCCCATCAGCCATGGAGATAGAATTTGAGCGCCGCTTCCCTCTTTTCCCTTCCCCCCCCCCAAAAGGAAGGTTTGGGGCTGTGTAGGTGGGGAGAGGCCCCACGAAGCCATGGGCCAGCTCTACAGATCTTCCTTTGGATTTAAAAAGAGCCAGGGAGAAGCTGGTTGGCTGCAAAGCAAAGCACCGGCCTCTTTTGTCTTTGTTAAAAGAAATCTGTTGGCCTGGTTGGTATTTTCCCCAGGATACCTTTCTGCCAGGGGATGTGATGGCGCAGCGGTTAAAGACCCTGAACTTGTCAGCTGGAAAACTGATAGCCTGCGTTTGAGACCCGAGCGTTGCATGACGGGGTGAGCTGCCATCCTTGACTCAGCTCCTGCCCAGCTAGCAATTTGAAAGCATGCAAATGCGAGTAGCTCAATAGGTGCCACTTCGTTGGAAAGGTCACAGCGTTTCGTGCACCTTGGCGTATACTCATGTTGGTCACATGACCACAGAAACGTCTTTGGACAATGCTGGCTCCCTTGACTAGGAGATGGAGATGAGCACTCCCCCCCCACCCCCAGAGTCAGATATGATTGGACAGGAGAACCTTTATCTTCTTGGTCCACTTGCCTAGACGAAGGGCCAAAATAACTCTATTCAGTGTCTTACGGTGTGAACTTCCTGGTTTACCTTCTGCGAAAGAGCACATGCATGGCCGTTTGTGAATGTACCCGTGACCTGCTTTACAAAATTCTATGTGTGCCCGAATGGCTTCCCTCTGTTCCCTGACATCCTTATCTCAGGCCTGGACCTTAATAACAGACTCATTGGAGCAGCCCTCTGTTTCCGTAAAGCTTCTGTCGCATTTCCGGTGGGCATCCAACAGGTGCTCCGCTGTTTCCTTGTTGAAGAGGATTAGAGAAACCTCTTGAGGTCTTTTTGTTCTGTTTTAAAGGCTGACCCTTCCAAAGGCATTACAGAACACCCTATGGGGGTACCCGTCTTTGGTAACATCTTCCCCTGCAGTTCCCATTTACGGACTCAGACCCTCCGCTCTGGAGATGTGAGTCAGATGTCAGCAAAGACTAGAGGTCATTCTTGCTTAAGAAACAGCCACTTAATGACCATTCAAAGTTAGAATGGACTTACGATCTATCCTCAAAGCTATGACTGCTGCCCCCTCCCCCCATGTGGTCAAATCATCACATTTGGGGTGCTTTCCAACCAGCTCACTTTTACGACTGGTTGCAGTCTCCTGTGGTCCACGTGACCCTGATTTGCAACTGTTCTGCTGTTTTCTGGCAGAAAACTTATCAAAAAACACCTATTGGATATGTTGCATTTGCGTAATGACAACATGACTCTCTTTAACGGTTGCAGTGAGTCACTTTACAGATGTCATTAGAAAGGTCGTAAAATTGAGTCTCATGTCCTCGACTTAGGACAAATTATGACTAAAATACCAGGCTCCATTGTGGTCAAAAGTCGGGGATGACCAGTTATTGTTAATTTGGAGGATCAGCAGGCACACGGGAGGAAGCTGGCCGGAGGGAGCCCTTTTGGACTCAATAGCCAGGTTGCTCCCAGTCTTAGGGCTGAGGAGAGAGCGGCCGAATTGCTCTGGACGGTAGGATGAAAATGATCTGGAGCAGATAAGCAGGCAGATGGACAGGCTGGGCTGCAGGAGGCACACCTTGATCGCTATACGGGCAGTCCTCGGCTTAGCAACTATTAATTTAGTGACCTTCAAAGTCACAACGGCACTGAAAAAGGTGATTTATGACCGTTTTTCACACTTCGGACCCTCGCAGCGTCCCTATGGTCACACAGTCGGAATTTACCCGTTTGGTACCTGGCTCAGGTTTAGGACGGTTGCCGTGTCCCGGAGTCCTGTGTCACCTTTTGTGACCTTTGGGCAAGCAAAGTCAATGCAGATTCACTTAACAACAATAGCAAGGAAGATCATCAAATGGGGCAAAATTCCCCTGTCTTGCTTAGCAGCAGAAATTTTGGGCTGCGTTGCGGTCGTATGCCGAGGACTACTGTACGTCTCTGCAGAAAAGCAACTAATCTAGCTAGGACTTCAGCTCTCCCATTCAAGGTTTTAAGGAGTTCCCCAGTAGCCCCACCCAATCACCCCCCTCTTCCAGTGACAGTCTCAGGCATTACATTCCCACCCCCTTTTCCTTACTGCCGGCTGGATGGAGACTTCAAAGAAAACTACATGAAAGGTAATAGCCCCATTCTTATGGTTAGCTCTTTTGGCAATACACACAACCAGTTCCTTGGAAGTGTACCGAAGGAAGTGAGGGCCATAAAGCCCCTTTGTTCACCCCCTTCCCTTCATCGTATGGCAGAATCCAGAGAAGGCAGAAATGGGGTTTTTTATAATTGATAACTAGAGATGAAATATAATTGGATTCTGACATCCTGCCCCTCAAAAATACGACAGATCCACCTGAAAGAAAACAAAACAAGTATAAAAGTTAGTCAGGCTTGCTAGGGTATTTTGTGTGAAACTTCTTCAATAGCTTCGGGGCTCTGACATGACGTTTATGGACCCACTGGTTTTGTGAGGAAGGGAGGTGTTTCCAGGCAACTAGGTACTGAGTCGCTCCATGATATCTCCTAGAGTCAAGGATTTCCTTTATTTCGAAGTGTTGTTCGCCCTCCACCATGATTGGAGGTGGTGGGGGGGATTTTTGGCCGTAGAGGTGACTGACGCTCTCTTTTCAGCAAGCTGCAATGAAAAATTGGGTGTATTTGCCTGAGATTTTTGGGTAATTCTAATTCTACTGTTACTGGGTTTATGATTCTTTTAATTGGAAAAGGCCCTATATATTTTGGTCCAAGTTTTTGACAGGGCTGTAGGGACTTTAGGTATTTTGTAGATAAGTACACCATTTCTCCTATAATGAATGGTGTAGGCTCAACCCTTTTTTTATCGGCTTGTGCTTTGTATGCCTGCCTAGCTTCATCTAGAGCTTTTCTAACTATTGGCCAGGTGTCTTGTAATTGTTCCATCCATTCTTTCAGTGAGGGGATCGTTGGTTTGTTTGGGGTTAATTCTGGCATGGGGTTGAAACTTTGACCATTGGCTATTTGAAAAGGAGTGTAGCCTGTGCTGGAGTGGACTGCATTATTGTAGGCAACTTCTGCAAAAGGGAGTAAGTCCGTCCAATCACTTTGTTGGAAATTCAAAAAACATCTCAAATATTGCTCAAGTACTGAATGACAATGTTCCGTTTGTCCATCTGTCTAAGGGTGATGGCTAGATGTCAGTCCCTGAGTGGTCCGTAAGAGGGATAAAAATTCCTTCCAAAATGCAGACGTAAATTGCACTCCCCTATCAGAGATGATGCGTTGGGGTGCCCCATGCAATCTGTAAATGTGCTGGATGAAAAGTTTTGCTAAGGCTTTTGCAGTGGGAATCTTTTGGCAAGGGATAAAGTGCACCTGTTTGGAAAACAAGTCCGTGACCGCCCAAACAACAGTATTCCCACTGCTTTCTGGCAATTCCACTATAAAATCCATGGCTATTTCCCTCCAGGGGGCTGAGGGATTTGCCACTGGTTGTAATAGTCCTGGCGATTTCCCTTGCAACCTCTTTGCAGATGCACATGTTGGGCAGCTGGCAACATAACTTTCTGTGTCCTTTTTTATTGATGGCCACCAAAATTGCCGTTTAATTAAGTGTAAAGTTTTTACAAATCCAAAATGCCCTGCTGATATTGTGTCATGGCAAAGCTGCATGAAAGTGGGTTGTTGGTATATATAACTTTTCCCCTACCCAAGGCAACCCGTCTCTCATTGTGCACACATTTTTGTTTTTCTGGAACCATTCGTCTGTTTCCAAACTTTTTCTGAATTCAATTCCAGTTTGGCTGTCCAGTTGTGGTTTTAATTTAGCTTGGATTCTTGTGGTTACTGGTGCTGCCAGTTGTGACTCTGCCATCATTGGTTTAGAGTCTGTGGTTCGTGCGCTGTTATATTGAGGCATGCGAGATAGTGCATCTGCCAGGAAGTTCTTTCTCCCTGGTAAATGTTTGAGCTTAAATTGGAACTGGTGAAAATGCTGGGACCAGCGGGCTTGTTTGGGATTGAGCTTCCGGGGCGCTTTCATGGCTTCCAAATTTTTGTGATCAGTCCACACCTGGAAGGGGATTTTGTTGCCTTCCAGGAATTGTCACCACGTAAGTAATGCCCAACGTATCCCGTATGCCTCTTTCTCCCATACAGGCCAGCGCTGTTCTGTTTCCATGAGTTTCTTGGATGTATATGCACAGGGTTGCAATACCCATCATTGTTTTTTTGTAATAGAACAGCCCCCCACTGCCACATCACTTGCATCCGCCTGTATTACGAAGGGCTTGTCCATGTCTGGGTGCCTTAGTACTGGTTTGGCAGAAAAAAGTCTCTGTAGTCTCTCCAACGCTGCTTGGCACTCCATTGTCCATGTTAGTGGCTGGCTAGGTTTTACTGAGGATGCTCCCTTCATTTTTAGTAAGTTAGTGAGGGGCAAGGCTATCTGGGCAAATGAGGGGATGAATTGGCGGTAAAAGTTTGCAAAGCCCAGGAAACTGTGTAGTTGCTTTCTTGTGCGGGGTGGTGCCCAATCTAATACTGCTTTGACCTTCTCTGGGTCCATTTCAATGCCCTGGGGGGATATGCGATAACCTAGGTAGTCTATCCTTTCCTGGTAGAATTCGCATTTTGAGAGTTTGGCATATAGGTGGGCGGCTCGCAGTTTCTTTAAAACCGCTCTGACAAGGTTGACATGTTCCTCTTTTGTTTCGGTGAAGATAAGAATGTGGTCCAACTAAACAAGGCCCCCCTTAAACAGGTGCTCCCTTAGAACGTCATTGATTAATTGCATAAAGACTGCAGGGCCCCCTTGTAATCCAAATGGCAAGACTTTGAACTGATAGCACTCCATGGGGCAGTTAAATGCGGTCTTCCATTCGTCCCCTTTTTTAATTCTCACGCGATAGTACGCTTCCCTTAGGTCTAGTTTAGAAAAAAATTTCCCTTTCGAGAGGTGTGACAGCATGTCTTTCATGAGGGGCAGAGGGTATAGGTTGCTTTCACTGATTGTATTCAGGGCCCTATAATCCACACATAAGCGTAAAGAGCCATCCTTCTTCTCTCTAAAGAGGACCGGGGCAGCCACTTTAGGCTTGGCTGGCTCAATGAAACCCCTCTCTAGTTTTTTTTAAATGAATCTTTCCATTTCCTCCTTCTCCTTTGGGCTCATGGAGTATAATCTGGGCTTCGGGAGTTTTGCCCCAGGCTTGAATTCAATGGCACAGTCTGTGGGTCGGTGGGGGGGGGGAGCTCATCCGTCCTCTCTTCACTGAAAACTTCAGCAAGGTCTCTGTATTCCTCTGGTATTTCTGTTAGTCCCTTTTCCTCTCCCATGGTTACTTTTTCTATTCTTGATTTTGGTAGCCCCCCTTGGGATTTTAAGTCCATAGGGTCCCCCTTCGGGAATTTGATTTCTGTCGTCCTCCAATTTACCCAGGGGTTCCATTTTTTCAACCATTCCATCCCTAGGATCATTGGGCATTCCATGCCTGGGGTCACCACAAACGTCATGTCCTCCTCGTGTTTGCCCAGGGAGAGGTGTATTGGTAGAGTGGCTAGGGTAGCTGGCACCCCCCCTGCTATGGATCCATCTAGCTGGCCAAATGAGATTGGTTGTTCCAGTCTCCTGGATGGGATGCCCAGATTCCCCACTAGTGTTGGGCTAATGAGGCAGCGGGTGCAGCCAGAGTCTATTAAGGCTCTCACCTTCATGGCTTCGGGCATGGGGGGGATTAATATAGTCACTGTCTTGAGGATGGGTGTGATGCGTCCACTTACCAGGGTTCGCCCTCTGAGCTGTCATCTGAGGCGTCCACCGGCCCTGCGGTGTAGGCTTGAGTTCTTTCCCCCTGATGAGCAGAGGTGGGGGGGTTCCGCAATTTCCATCATTCTCATGGCAATTTCTTTTGACTTAGCTGAAGACTTTCCGGATTTGCTGATTGGGAATCTGTCTGGGTTGTGCTGGGGGGCTTTGGAGCGGCATTCTACAGCTCGATGCCCTTCTCTTCCACACTTGAAACACCCCATTTTCTTCTTGGCTGTAGCCGATGATTTCACCGGTTCGTGTGTCAGCTCAGGCGGGGGGCGGCTCCATTGTTTTCCTCGGCGGTGTCTCTTCAATATGTCGTGACTTGTGGAGGAATTCTGGGAGCTGAAGTCCACAAGTCTTAAAGTTGTCAAGGTTGCAGACCCCTGACCTAGGTTATATGTGGGAGCACCTGAAAGGAACGTTTGCGAGCATCGGAAGAGTCTGTTGCTGCTTTGCGATGCTTGATGCCAACAAGTGTCATTGGTCAGTTTCCTTCTCCCCCAGGGCCCCTCCCTCCCTCCCTCACCACTGGGCTGCCTTTCTCTCCACAGCCAGGGAGACGGGCACTCCTTCCCCATCCGAACCCAGAGCGAAGCCCGGAACCCCCTGCTTGCAAACGAGGAGCAGTGGGAGGATGAGGGGATGGAAGATGGCAGCCAGCAAGGTAAGAGCAAGGCATCCTGGGTGTGTGGCTCTGTGTGTCTCTGTGTGTGTGGCTGCTTGGGATCTAGGGTGAGCCATTGGTGCAGAGAAAAGGAGGGGGGCTGTCGTGGAGGAGGGGCCTCTGGGGCAAAGTGGAGTTGAGGACAAGCATGAAGACACTGCAAAAGGCCAGTGTGTGGACCTCGAGGCAGCAGGCTTTGGATGCCCTGGGTGAATTTCTGCCTCTGTTTGCACCGTTGTACGTGTAAAGTTGCTGCAGATGTTGTACTTTCTGATTTAGCTATCAAAAATAGAGGATATTCCCACCTTTGGATCCATTAAGTCAACATTCCTCTGTTCCAGTGTTCCAGCTAGCTGAGGAATTCTGGGAATTGAAATCCCCCCCTGTCAGTCCTGCCTCAACTTGGACCTTTACGCAAGAACGACCCTCAACTCCATTCCGTGTGAAAGGTTTACGTTGCTAAAGGCCAAGTGGTGTACAGTACAGCACAGCCGGAACTGAGGCTCGTGCACCAAACTTTGCCGGTTAACTTCCCCCCCCTTTGTCCCTTCCCATTGTTGATCCCTCATTGTCCAATCATAGATAAAATGTTTTGGGAACAAACTCTTCAACTTTCGAGTAGGCGGTGCGGAGATACAGGCCTTTCCTGGATGAATTGTTAGCTTTCCCCACCTCTCCCCATAGTTCACAGCAGACTGGCGGTTAGCGAATGCGAACTACAGACATGAGATGGCAGTTCTGATACACACCTCTTAAAGTTGCTAAAGTTGACAAACACTGCTCTGCACATTCAAAAGAGAGGAAAAGGGGGCATCAGTCAACCAAAAGTGACCGGGGGGGGGGGCAAGTCAGCAAGCCTGGGCCATTAGTTCTTGTGCAGCAGAAACAGAGATGCCCTTCTTACAGCCTCCCCCCCCATCATTGAGGCAGATTTAGGGACCACTTGGAGAACAGCCTTCCCATTTGCATTCTGGACCAGTTAGCTTTCAAGTAGTTTTCAAGAGTAGCCCCATGCAGGGCACTTTGCAGCAGTCGAGCCTTGAGTCAAATTCCTCGAGTTATTCATTTAGTTTACATTTGATATAGATATAAGTTGAGCCTTCTCTGGGCATAAATACATACACGGCCCCTACTTTGCAAATCACAACAAGTCTTTTTTTCCCATGACTCGTGTTTTTCCGTGTTGTTCTTGCAAATGCTTTTGCAGATATCCCCAGTAGTTCCAGTGCAGGGTCCCTTCTTTCTTTTAAATTTTGCTTGAAAAGCAGGGTTTTATAAGATGAAGAGTGCCGCAATCAGCTATTTTAAAAAGTTACTCGTTCTCTGCGTTCAATCCAAGACCGCTTTGTTTACCAATCAAGTCCTATTCAACAGGACTGGAGAGGTTGCCATCAGGATCAGATTGATTGCAGGATTAGGGAACCGCTTGTCTTCCTGCTTTGGGGGTTAATGGCCCAGCACAGAAGTTTGGCTGAAAGGCAAGCAAAGGGACCATTTTTCCCAAACTGTAAATCTCAAGTGCATCTTTTGCAAAGTGTAAGAAAGGCAAGGTGTGTATTTGCCCATACTTACCTAAACACGTATACAAACTCAGACTCTTCAAGTTGTAAGCATCTTGGCTGCAGCCCTCCAGGTCCTCCAAATACTTTTGCCAAATTTGCTTTTGAATGGTTTAAAAGGGAGCAGTGATTAAATACAGAATTGGGAAGTAATCACAATAATTCTGCTGAATTCTAGTTGAATGCAAATGACCTGCAATCTCCCTATGACTTTGTAGAGTGTAGTCCCCAGCAGGCCATTCCAAGCCACCCCACCCCATCCCATCCGAGAGAAAAATTGGGCTCCACAATGATTGGGAGCACAACTCTGAAGGAAGAACAATCTCTGTCTTACTTGAGTGGACTTCTTTTGTTTGTCTGTCCAGATTACCAGCAAGGGACTTCTCTTTCCATCGAAATGGAGACGTAGCAGCTTTGAAGAGCTGAGGTTGTGCAACTCATGTGCTCTGGTAAGTGTTTTCTTCTTCAGATATATATAAAAAAGCCTAGCACTCTTCTTTCAGTTAGGTTTTTTTTTTTTTTCATAAGATACTTGATCTGGATGTCTTGCCTCCAGAAGTCATGGGTGCTCCTTTGCTGGAGATTTTCAAGAAAAGGTTGGGCCATTATTTATCTGGAATGGTCTACTAGGGTCTCCTGCTTGAGCAGGAGGGTGGACTAGAAGACCTCCAAGGTCCCTTCCAACCATGTTATTCTATGTTCTACAATCTTGGCAGTGGTAGACTATTCCCCTCGCACACGGGTTCCAAATTCATATGATTTCCCTGTGGGCAATATGGCTTGCCCATGTAAATGAACTCTCTCTTGGGCCAGGAAAAGCAGCCCATAGAGCCCCTTATGCCATTTCCTGGCGCAAGAGTTAGAACAGGGGTCTTCAAACTTGGCCCTTTTATGACTTGTGGACTTCAACTCCCAGAATTCCTCATCCAGGCACGCTGGGAGTTGAAGTCCACAAGTCATAAAAGGGCCAAGTTTGAAGACCCCTGAATTAGAATAACAGAATAGCCGAGTTGGAAGGGACCTTGGAGGTCTTCTGGTCCAAACTCTGCTCAAGCAGGAGAGCCTATTCCATTCCGGACAAGTGGCTGTCTCGTTGTTATACACCTCACCTTGAAGTAGCTCCCCCCCCCCAACGCAGCATCTCCCAAATCATCCGGGCCAAAGCTGGACTACCACCTTCTGCTTCTCAGAAATCCCAAAGTTGCTGGTGGGTGCCAGGTTGGAAAAAGCTGAACTGGAGAAGTGTGCCATAAAGTCCTGACATGTTTGGCGCAAGAAGGCCAGCTCCAGGAGAGGTCGAGGTCTCACCTTCTGGAGCTTGCCTAGAATCAGCGCTGGGTCGGCCCCGATTGGGGTTCGATTCGTCCAGGGGTGTCTTTCTTTGGCCCGGATGCTCTTTCACAGCCAAGCCTACCAGACCCCCGAAATGGAAAGTGTGAGCTTTTCTCATGCCGCCTTGGGCTCTTGGGGAGAAGGCAGGACAGACGTCCACCAAATAGAAAAGGCAGATTTTGTGTTTCAGAAGAAGTTGGCTAACCTCTTGCAAATGATTGCGGTTTAAAAGACCCACAAGGCTTTTCCGGTAACTATTTCACCACAGGCCATTTGCTTGCAGGAAGCCACCCCCCCCCCACTGTGCCCTGCTATGCCACATTTGCCAATGGCAGGTCTGCTCTTGAGCAGGGCATCTCCTGATGGTGCAGATATCTCTACGCAAAACAAACTTCAGAGCTGAGAAGCGTTTTCCCAAATCTTCTTGCTTAGTCTAAACCAGGGGTAGGAAACCTTGGCTCTTTTATGACTCGTGGACTTCAACTCCCAGAACTCCTGGGAGTTCTGGCAGTTGAAGTCCACGAGTCATAAAAGAGCCAAAGTTGCCTACCCCTGGTCTAAACAATGGAAGCTCCCTACTTTTTCAGAAAAGATCTCAAATCTTCCGAGCCTGACCGCAAGAAAGAACGGAGGATCACCCTCCGATTAATGTGAAAATATAAGAGAGGGGATAGAATTTGCACTCAGGAAAGACGGAAGACAAGACTTTTGCCTTCCATAGCCATCTCAGCTCCCAGAGAGCAGGAGAAAGCTGAGTGGCCCAAGGGCAACAGAGAGTGGTGTTAGGGAAACCACAATCCATAAAGGGATGCAGGTGGTCACTGACTTGCAACCATTTGTTTAGCAACTGTTCAAAGTTACAGCAGCACTGAAAAAAGTGTTGTAGAGCAGTCCCCACACTTAGGACCGCTATGATCAAAATTTGGGTGGCAACCAGCCTGTTCTCACAGGAAACGGGACTCGCCTAATGAGAACACATGTCACTTAATTATAACGGTTCACCAAAGGCTGGAAAATCGGGGGAAAGATAGGGGGAAAGGTAGCAGCACGGCGGTCATGCCATTTCTTTTTAAATTCAAAAGTTACACCAAACACAAGGAAGAGGAGGGGGACAGGAGAAATGGCTCCTTTGGAAAGCAGCAATCCAGGTCCAGTCCAAACCGATTGGCGCTTTCCTTTCCTTTCCTTTGAAGTTTGCTTCCCCAATTACAGATTTCATTCCAGAAGATCAAATAGCAGCTGCTGATGAAGGCTTTTCATCCAGGAAAGGAAAGAGCTGCCTTCTCCCCCTGCTCGCCCTCACTCTGATCTGGATCATTATCAGCACATCTGCGGCTGCAATTCCCTTTTTATTTCAGCGTGCACATTAAATGCAGGGCTGCCTCACGTCATGTCGAGCTTGGTCCTTAGGAGTAGAATAGAAATTCTTTTAATTAGACTCATTCTTATTCCTTTCTTTTCCTGCAACCCACTTCAGTTCCAGCTTCCTCCCTGTCTCATTAGCTTCCTCTGGTGATGGAAACTCAGGAGGCATAAAAGAAAAAGCAGCACTTGGATCGGAAAAAGAAAAGCAACATTGGAGGCTAATTCTCGCTTTCGGAAACAGCTCTTGAGGAGACAGTCCTTGGTGACACTTCCAAGGTTTGCTACACATTATGGATTATTTTTTTTTAACATGGCAGCTCTGAAGTGATTAAGGCTATTCATGACTGTCTCTTTTTGTATGTCTTACCCAGAAGAAGGGAAAACTGCTTAGTGCAAATGCATTTCCAAGTGCCTTAAGGGGCATTTAGCTAACAGCCTGGACTTCATGTTGTCTCGTTTTGCCAAATAGGAAGAACAGCTCTGTAAAATGGTTAGGCAGACTGCTCAAAACAAATCCTCTTGCGCAGGAATCATGGCTGCCAAATCAAGTCTTACTGCTAGGGAACTGGGCGAACGTGTGCTGCTTCTGTAACCACAGGAAACCTTCAGCCAGCTCTAAACGTACCCATCGTCAAAATTCTGATTTTGCTAAAAAGCCTGGCTCTTTTAATTGATCTTTGTTGATGTAAGCACAGTCCTCGTAGTGCCTATAATTGTCTAAAATTCATTCAGAACAGCTTCAGCTACTGGACTAGTTTCTGCTATGAAAAAAATAGCCTTTGACTTGCACAACGGTGACCCTGTCTTGTACTGTCCACGGAGGCTCATGTGACTACGGACTTCTTTGAACAGAACTTGCCTCCCCCACGCAAAAGTCAGCCTGCCAGCAGGAGAAAGTCTGGCCCCTGGTTTGGCATTCAGGGGAAGCCTTGCTTGGAGCCAGGCCAGCCTCACTTCACAGACTTTTAAACTCTTTGCATGATCTGATCAGGAATACGATTTGTGTCTCTCTGTCATTCATTTTTTCCCCAAATACTTAAAGAAACTCATGGATAGAGAAGTCCAAAAGGCTGGGCTTCCCCTTGCCCCTTTAATTTGAGTGCTGGGTCACTTAATAATAATAATTGTAGTAAAGTTGGAAGGGACCTTGGAGGTCATCTAGTCCAACCCCCTGCTCGGGCAGGTTTTGATCCAAGTAGGATTCCTTCCCCCCTCAAGAGATTTCTTCAGCCTTTTCAGTGACCACGCAGAAATAGATTCCATCTTCCCTCTTTAGAACTTTGGAGAAAAAACACCATAAGAGGAGATCATTGGAAATATGTTATAGACATCAACCATTTAGCCCAGTGGGTTCAATCGGATCAGGGAGATGGGCTGTGGTGCAGCTCCAGGGGCTGGAGCTAAACCAGTGTCCCCCAGTACCTAGATGATGCCACCAAACCAGGCAGCTGCCCCTCTCTGCTTATGCTACACTTGACCTCCCAATCACACCTGTCAGCCACACAAGCAGATGGAAGTCCCAAAGGTGCTTTTTCAAGAGACAACTGGACTTTCTTGTTTTGCTTTGAAGACGTTTCGTTTCTCATCCAAGAAGCTTCTTCAGTTCTGGCTGGATGGTGGGGAACGGAAGGGTTTATACTCCTTGCAGACAGCTGGTCATTTGCACTCTTTTAAGAGAGTCATTGAGGCCACTTGGAGGTGTCCCCCATTGTGGCCAATCTCTACATGGAACACGTCGATACCAAAGCCCTAAACCCCTTCACAGGAATTCCACCCACTCATTGGTAAAGGTATGTGGACGATACTTGGGTCAAGATCAAAACACAGGAATGGAAGCGTTTGCCAAACATATCAACTCTGTGGACAGAGACATCAAATTCACACATGAAGATGTTAAGGAAAATAGTTTAGCCTTCCTGGACTGTGCAGTAGTTATTAGGGAAGATAGAAGCCTTAACACTGAAATTTACAGAAAACAAATCAATATTTACATATGATTCTCACCGCCCACTGAAGCACAAAATGGGAGTTATCAGAACCCTACACCACTGAGCTGAAGGCCTACCAGCAAAGGGAAAGAAAATGAACTAAAACACATCAAGGAGACCCTCAGAACATGTGACTATCCCAAGTGGGCCTTCATCAAATTCCCCCCCCCCCAAATACTCTGCAGGAACTTCTCCATACACAGACAAAGAAGGGAACAATAAACAAAGCAATGTTGTCATTCCATATGTTGCAGGAATATCTGAAAAGTTCAGGAGGATCTTCAGCCAACACAACATACATGCACACTTATTTAAACCCAAGAATACACTAAGGCAGAAGCTTGTCCATCCCAATGGTAAAACACACAGGCACAAACTAAGCAACGTGGTATATGCAGTACAATGCAGTGAGCCATGTGCAGATCTGAACCATGGGGAAACAAAACAACCACTTCATAAACACCTGGCACAACATACCCATCAGGACAAGATTCAGCAGTGCATCTGCTTTTAAAAGACAAAAGGCCACACTTTCGAAGACAACAAAGTCCACATTTTGGACAGAGGTTTGAACAGCTGGTTTGAAAGAGGGGTCCAAGAGGCCGTCTGTGTCAAAACTGAACCATCCTCTCTCAACAGAGGGGGAGGGATACGACATCATCTATCTCCAGTCTACCACACAGTCCTTTCAGCAGTTCCAAGGAGGCTCCACACCCATTTGCACCACTTAGGTGACCCTGAGGACACAGGTAAACCTCCAGGTGGCCTCAAGGACTCTAAACGAATGCAGATGACCAGCTGTCTGCAAGGAGTATAAACCCATTCCCCACCATCCAGTCAGAGCTGAAGAATGGATGAAAAGGGAAACATCTTCAAAGAAAAACAAGGAAGTTCAGTTGCCTCTTGCAAAAGCATCTTTGGGACAACCATGAGCGGGATGACTGAGAATCTCCATAGACATTAAGCAGATGAAAGAGAGAGCAATAGTTGAGTTCTCTCAACGTAAGCCCATTCCAGTACTGCCTATATCCTACTGGGGCCATCAGATCATTTTTAAAGAAGACTTTAAAAAGTCTGCAGTCAGAAGAGGTTGCCCACCATGTTTATAGTGGCTAGGACTCCCTCAAAGATTTGTCCGGGACCTCCGTGGCCTTGCTTGTGATGTATCTTTTGCTGCAGTGGGGTTTTTGAAATGCCCATGCTAAGAAGTAAACCAGTTTCGTAGCTGGGCTTCCTTTGTGCAGTTGCACCCTTTGCTGATTTTCTTGGGGAGACCTCCCAAAAAGATAGCATTCAGCCTCTAGAATTGTTTAGGCTCAGTTAAAAAACCCTTAATGCGCTATTTTTTTCTCAGTGTAGAAAGGCGCCAGCCAGAGAAATTGAAGCAGACACAAATCTTATAGCAAATATTGAAGCTTTACTAATTTCAATAGAACTAGTTTAAACATTTTTCTGCTGATTATATTAGTCCTTTGAATGCTGTATGTTTAAAGCAAAATAGACATTTGCGTGGGTCCATATTTAACACCGAACTTCTTCCCTAGTTAGATTTCATAACAGTGCTGTCAATCAATTGCAATGTGTTTCCCTTTCTTAAAAGACTCTTTTCTTTGCATTGATCAGAGCAATTAAATGTTAACGTTTAATTAACAAATGCAGCTCTACTCCAACATTTCAAAAAGTTAGATAATCCAAAGAGAGAAGCAACCTAGAACTAAGGAGAAACTTCCTGACGGTTAGAACAATTAACCAGTGGAACAACCTGCCTCCAGAATGCTCCAACACTGGAAGTTTTTAAGACGAGATTGGACAGCCATTTGTCTGAAATGGTATAGGGTTTTGTGCCTGGGCAGGGGGTTGGACTAAATGACCTCCAAGGTCCCTTCCAACTTTATCATTATTATTATTATTACTAATCCACTAAAACAGCAGAACATGTATTTGGAGAACTAATTTTAATTTGGTGTTTCCAACTTCACAGAGCTACGTGATAAAAGCATCTCAGCTGCTGTTGAACATTTCTCAGGTCCACTATTTTAGCGCCACGGAGGAGGTGAAAAGCGTGTTTGGCTTTGTTGATCTCCTGTTGAAAGGGTGGTCCAGAATTTGGGAATCGAGCAGAGAGAGACTGGTTAAGACTTAGAAAATTTCCAAAGCCATGTCTGATAGCGTGAGTCTTATGGGGCCTGGAAGGAACGGCCGGGTCAACTGCCCTTTCAGTTCCAGGCCCTTCTTCATGCCCTGAATTTTCAATTGTTTTTAGACAATCTTGGATTAAGGCAGTGCTTCTCAATTATTTTCTGTCATGCCCCCCTAGGAAGAAGAAAACATTTCGCGCGCCCCCCGCGCGACTGTAAAAAAATTTTTTCTGTACAGAGGACCGATTTCCGGGTCTAAAAGTCACACGGGCGGGTTTGGCCAATCAGGATAGAGCATCATGTCTATCCAATCGGGTCCTTTGCATGTGTCACGTGCGTTGGCGGTCATGTTGTCCTCCGCGTCGGGCTGCCGCTTGCGAGTGAGTCGGATGATCCGATCTAGAAATCCAATATGACAGTATTTGCCGAGGTCAAACGAGCCCCCCTTTACGGAGCCTCGCGCCCCCTGGGGGGCGCGCCCCACTATTTGAGAAGCACTGGATTAAGGGCATCAACAGCAGAGGGAAGCGAAGATCCTGCCCTTTTGGGCCTTGGTATTAGTTCCAAATAAACAATTGGCAAGTAGCAGCTATAGTTGTAACCCAGCATTGCTCAACTGTACTGACTGTTTAGTTGTGTGGACTTCAACTCCCAGAATTCCCGTAGTGAGCCTGCTGGCTGGGAAATTCTGGAAGTTGAAGTCCACACATCTTAAAGTCAGCAAGGTTGAGAAACAGCATTGTAAGCCATTATCAAGGCAACGAGGTGTCCGAGCCCTCTTCTGCTTAACAGTTGTGTGAAAAAACAGCTAGGGAAGGTTTTTTTCTTCTTCTTTAGACAGGATTGAAAAGCTGTGAAAAGTACTAACGTGAAAATGATGGTTTGTCTGCAAAAGAGCTTTCAAGTGCCCTTTGTAGGTGGAGCAGTGATTATGAGCCACAGGAACCATGTCATCATTTGCTTCCAGGAAACCTATACTCGCATTCACTAATATTTCTGTGTGGTTCTCCATAAAACAGCTTTACTCCTGTTTGTGGGCATATGCCTGCACTTTTCTATTTTGTGTTGGGGATACGGCAGGAGGTGTCCCAGAACCAGTTTGCTTAGAACCTCTTGAACTCAGACCATTTCTGATGGTTTCCAAAGCTCCTTTCACCTCAGCAGCCTAATTTAGGGATAAAGTCTACTTCAGGGGTTCTCAACCTTGGCAACTTCAAGACTTGTGGACTTCAACTCCCAGAATTCTGGGAGTTGAAGTCCACAAGTCTTAAAGTTGCCAAGGTTGAGAACCCCTGGTCTACTTGGTGTTCTTATGGCTAAACTATTGGGAGTTAAAAAAACAACAACTCTGTGCAACTATTATAACTCATCCAATCTGTTCTCTGCAGGGAAGGCCTTAAGACTTCTCCTAGCAGCCTCTCCCAAATTCTCCTTCAGCTGTGACTCCTGTTCCCTGCCAGTTTCTTTGGGAGCTGGGCAGCTGTTGAGCTTGAAACAGCACAAATGGAATGCATGTGAATTATATTTTTAAATAATTTTGGGTTGGGGAGGACAGCTTAATTTAATAAAATCAGATGTGATCAGGTGACCAAAATTATCTTTAGAAACATTCTACCAGCTGATTTGTGGCAAGCAAACAGGCTTGTTAAATAAATCAGGTTAGGAAGACTTCAGCCCCAATGATTCCTCAGAATCAAAGGCTCATCCCTGCAGTGCAGAATTGTAATAGAGATCCAGAGTCCTCTACTAATAGTGCTGCATCTTTATGCATTTGATTACCAAATTGACCCATCTTCATGGTTGCACAAATACTGTACATTGAATACTTAACTATCAAAAGCAGTACAGGTAGTCCTTGACTTACAACCATTCATTTAGTGACCGTTCAAAGTTACAACGGCGCTGAAAAAAGGGACTTGGGACAATTTTTTTACACTTATGACCGTTGCAGCGTCCCCAGGGTCACGTGATTTACATTCAGATGCTTGGCAACTGGTTCATACTTATGACGGTCGCCATGTTCCAGGGGTCCTGTGATCCCCTTTGCAACCTTCTGACCAGCAAAGTCAATGGGGGAAGCCAGATTCACTTGAACAACCAGGCTACTAATTTAACAACTGCAGTGATTCACTTAACAAACGTAGCAAGAAAAGTCGTAAAATGGGGCAAAAGAGTGTGCTGGAATATTTTGTACCAACCAGTATTGCCACTTCCAGTCATTATCCAGTTGCTGAATTTCATTCTAGTTTTCATGTACTCACATGAGGACACAGGAGACACCCCAAACCTGTAACAATTAAGCAAGTGTCCTGAAGAACAGAAAGTATCTCCTTCTCATTTTAGATAATATATGTTTATGCTGCCCGATTCCCAATGACTCTGGATAGTGCACAACAGTCTGCCTGTTAAAGGAGGACACGGACCAAATCATTTGTGGCAGAATTCTGTCTAGAAATATTATAACTAGTATTTAATAATCTAATTAGCCTTTTTTATGATCCCTTGGGACCAACTGAAATTCAGAAATAGGAAGGGTAATAATAGACCCTTTGCAAACATATTCTGAGTATTTGAGGCACAGCAGGAAGAAATTAAAGGCTTTGAATGGCTACGTAAGGAATTTGATGGTATTCTATAGCAGTGTTTCTCAACCTTAGCCGCTTTAAGATGACTGGACTTCAACTCTCAGCTGGCTGGGGAATTCTGGGAGTTGAAGTCCACCCACCTTAAAGCAGCTAAGGTTGAGAAACATTTTTCTATAGCATTTGAATTATGATCCAATAATGTAATGCTTGTCTTGAGATTCCTATTGTTTAACTATTAGTTTTGTGGTTGCAACCAAGGTGTACTTTTCATATATTATTCCAGCCATTTTTAAAGCAGTCACAGTTGTACACGATGCCATACATTTTCATCAATCTAAATGTAACTTAGGATTGTGACTTGATTGTGAGAAGTAGTTGATTGTGAGAAGTCTTGACATTGCAGAACAAAATAACATTTGTATACTGGAACTATAAAATCTGCACTTTGTCCAGCATTATTCATGGAACTGGTTGGCGTTGATGTATGCGTAATTTTTCCATGCTGGAACATCCCAATTTCAGAAACCTCTCAAAGGCTTCCATGGTTCCACATTGACCCACATATTCCTGGGCATAAAATGTCTTCCTGAGAAAATGGAGCAGCGGAAATCCACCTGATGATTTTTGCAAACAGTATGCATCCCATTCTCACCACAAAACTGAAAGCATCACATTGATGTCTACTAAGGACCGTGAGACAGATGTAGTTAGGTAGGAAATCTGTGTTTAAAAATTTGGCCTTCTGTAAAGCTTGATTTTGGAGAACATCAGAATTGTTGAATAAAATAGGTGTTGCATGCTGGTATAGTGTAAGAATCAGCTAGCACAATATAAGAAATGTTTATTTGGCCCCAGCCTATAACTGTTTCTTGTGTAAGGTGTGGTGCACAACTGAAAGCACAATTTACTCTACTTGTAACAAGACAGGACCATGACGTATCTATGACAAATTGAATGTATTACACATATCATACCTTTCTCCTCACCTGGTTGGGAAAAAGTATACTAGAGGTAGGGACATATAATATCTCAGTGTTTCTCAACCTTGGCAGCTAGGAAGATGGGTGGACTTCAAGTCCCAGAATTCCCCAGCCAGCCTTCTTCCAGCAGCCAAGGTTAAGAAACACTGCAGTATCCTATGTACCCCTTCTCAACTTTTGGGGAGATCTAATATAGCTGCACTCTCCCATGTATCTGTGACCCATCAACAATTAAGGTATGCAGAACAGGACTGTGAATACCACGGAAGCTGCTTTAGCTCCGCTTCTTGAAATGTCTGCCTTGTAATGCATCAGTAGGAACAAAAGTGGTTTGGTGTTTTGTCAGTTGCACTGCTTGCTTTCCAGCACGATAAAACAAATATATCAGGACCTACATAAAAACATTGATCAGTGCATTCATATATTAAGAGAAAGGATGTGTTTGTAGTGGTCAGGGCCGATGGAGGAACAGAGCTGACTTTACTTTTGTAGAATGTTAAAAGTTGATTGTGTTTCCTATAGCCAAGTCGTAGAGGAGTCCCTTGTTGGCTTAAAATGAAAATCAAACCTTTGAGGCAGAGGATTCGCTCGAAGATAACAGTTATTTCTCAGAAATACTTCACACTTAATAAATTGCAGTTAGAATTCAATTCTTTCTCTGAGCTTGTCAGAGCGGTTTAAATAAGATAAGAGTGACTTCCTCTGGGAGGAAGGAAAGATTACTCAGTGAAAGAGTACATGTGGATAGGTAAAGAATGGACGGATCCTTTACACAGTGACATGAACTACCAGCAGCTACTGATTTGGCTGCACTTTTGCAAAATACTTTGCTGAGTCTTTTTCTTTTTTAAATCATTGAGGGATTTTGTAAAATCACATTAACCTTTAGTTTGGATATTACTGATTAATAATCTTAGGGGTGGCAGCAAATTGCATGGCCCTTTATTTTATACATTTAAATATTATGTTCACTACGCAGGGGTAGGCAACCTTGGCTCTTTTATGACTCGTGGACTTCAACTCCCAGAATTCCTGAGTCAGCCATGCTGGCTCAGGAATTCTGGGAGTTGAAGTCCACGAGTCATAAAAGAGCCAAGGTTGCCTACCCCTTATCTATAGTAATTCCTTCCTGGGTTTTTCTTTGGTATTATATAATCAAGATACAGATACATTGATGATATATTGAAGTGCAGATTTCCCCATTTGATTTTATAATCAGAGACATAGGAAATGGATTACTTAATCCAGTATAGTGGAGCATAATCATTCCTAAGGATTCTCAGAATCTCTTGGTTGTAAAATATTCTGCTGTTAATGTTGAGTCTCCTGAATGTTTAATGGTTACATTATCTCAGGTTCATTAACTGAAAACTGTATGTTTGTGATTGTGTAGCAGTCTGAAGCATGGAAATATTTTACAATAAAAATGTTTTGTAGAATCACATTTGAATATTTAAATATGTTAAAATGTATTGTGTAATGCTGCATTTTTTAAAATTCAAATACCAGGAGTCCAAACTGGATTAGTTTATTTCTCTGGTTTTGCAAGATGTAATCTGCCATTATGATTTAGCTTAGTCACAGACTCAATTTCCAACCAGGGCACATCTTATCCAATCAACTCCAAGCTTAAGGTTATAGCAGGATGTCCTATATACTTACTTCTAGTAAGAAGTAGAAACTTGCTCTTAAAGAAATGAAAATAAACATCCTTAGGTCTGATGATGAACAGAAAAATGAAGGTTAACAGAAGTAGAACATTACTGTTTTTGGTTTTTTTTTAAAGCAAATGATTTGTGGTTCTAGGGTACCAGCTGATTAGTAACCAGGAGACAATTACTGATATATCATAGCCAAGCTAAAAATATTATCCGGACAGTGACCCATAATGGCTGTTTTCAATATACAGCAATTATCTTTCTGAAATGGTTTGCTTTAAAATTGGGTACAAGTCACCTGTAGTGAAATGAAACAGTTTTGTCTTTAATTCTTCTCATTTGTATTATTAATTGTATTTAATTTAAAAATCAGTAAGATTTATTATCAAAAGAAAACTAGCTGACCTGTGATATAAAAATCTGGGCAACCATAAGATGGCAGCAAAAGCGAACTTTTCTGTATCCTTTTCCCACTACGGCAGACATGTTAAACTTGCGACGTCATGTCGCGCAACGTATCAGAGCTTTTTTGCCATTGCCGGCAATGGGGTGGGCGCAGCTCCAGTATGACACCCCTGCACTATAGAGTGGGTATTCAGATCTGGTGGCCTTGCATTGCCTCTTCCACTGGTCCATATATTCATATGTGAGCAAAGTGTGACCAGTGTAATATTTTGCACACACCATCTTTTGAATTATGCCTGCATTTTGTTTAGACGTCTTTGTTACAGTTACAAAACTTCTATATAGCTTGAGAAGGCAATCTACAAAAACTAAAACTGCATCCAAAGACTGGCACAAATGTGTCAATTGCTTCTAGCGAAAAATCTGTTTCAGAAAAAGGTCCCGTTGTGGTATAAAAACAATAAAAGATACAGACAATGGTGTCTTCACAGTTAGTTTATTTTGCCGTCGCAATCAGCCAAATTGGCTACAAAGAATAAATAAAGTAGAGGGCAGCAATTTGAATAACCCAATATTAGACGTCTGTGGTCTGCGTCATTGCCCCGACTCATTATTAAAACAAAAACTAGACTTAAGATCAAGTATCTATCCATTTAAATAAAAAATTAGTGCAGGTCAACTATTTCCACCTTTGGACAAAAAAAGAAAAACAAAGATGTTAAATATTCCCATAGATACCTCCACTTCAAATTATAAAATGTAGAAAAATGATATATCTTACAGTAACAAAACACAAATGGGTTAAGTACTTCAGTCTGTTCCAAAATACTTCTGCCCAAAATGTGTAGGTGCAACTGGATGAACCTCTGTTGTTAAAATTGTGATATCTGGAAATTCCTGGATTATTGATTTGGCACCTTAAAAAAAGAAAAGAAAATTGTAAATTATATATGTAGCTACATTGATTTTCCTGGAATGTGCCTTTTTAATCCAATTATTACAAGCTTTAATCATCAGTTGACATTTTTTTCCTTTCCCAGTATTTTGTGAATTCAATAGTTGTATTCTCTTTGGGCATAATAGTTAATTTCTATATGTCAGCTTACATGTGACAATTTCCGCAGCTGTCAATAAGGAATTCTATAATACAGAAATGACGCCCTCTAGAATATTCTTATTTGCATAAGAAAAAACTCAGATGTGTCCTCATAGGCATCAAGCACATACACACAAATTTTCTTTCATTTAATCTGGCTTTTCTAACATGAAAGGATTTCACTACATAGGAATGCTGAAAATCTTTTCAAATGTTTATGGATTATATTCATAATTACTCATTCCATCTCAATTTGTATCTACAATATTTTGAAGATGATCACATCAGTGCCTTTTCTAAGGTACGCCAAAGGCGGTCTATGTTTCAAAATCTTGCAACAGAAGGGTTAAGATTACGTTTCTCCATGTAACCGATTGCTTTATCAAGTTATCTTTAGTTTTACATATTTGTTTAGTTGTAGATCTATGCTGAAACATTCTGTCTTCACTTTTTAAAGAAAGCAACTACATGGCTGCATATAGCCTGTAATTAATTTCTCTGTTCATTTCCAGCATGTGTAGGTATCTCCTTATATGACAAGAGAGCTAAACTCTTTCTCACAAATACCCTTATTTTTATGACTTGGTCATAGTTTGCCTGAACTTACCATGGGGGGTAGAGAATAGACTCAGCAGGATTATAACATTGGGCTGAACCCCGTGTTCTATGAGGACCTTTACGGCCTCGATCACAGTGTTGCCGGTACCTGATAAATGGGTGGGGGAGAGGCGTAGAAAAAGAGGGAAGAAAGCAGAGGTGAATTATCCAACTGTCTTTCAAATGTGTGTGTCAGAGTCATCTTTCCTTTCAGTATGATTACAACTGGAGTTAGTATCTAATTGTGGCACAATCTATTCCCAATTCTTTTTAAGAAACTTCTACAAAGTATTTGGCTAAGCAGAATAGTTTGGAACTTGGAAAGAAATAGTCAATTATTGAGTATTTCATGAAGATTTAAAAATCTGTGAAATTCTACATAGTCATGCCATTACTTAAAATACATTAGCAAACTCCCATTATTCATTTTATATTATTAGATACCTCTTACTCAGTATGTGCAGCCCAGGATCAATGTTTTACCAGCTCAATTAGATCAATGAATAGACCTTCCAGCAAAGCATGAAACTTGTGTATTTTGCTGTGCTCACTGACTTCTCTATGTTCCAACTGAGCACTCTGCAGCCCACACAGCTTCTAATGCCGCCTTTAAAGCACTCACTCAGAATGGGGTACATGAGGAGGACTTTTCTTCTGTAGATGTCTGGTGGAAATTTTGCATAGTACACTTTGGCTCTCTGGGTCTCCTCGTCGCTCTGGATCAGGATCTTCCCTATCCGTATAGATCTGCAGCAATCACGCAAGCCCTGTTCCATTGCCTCCCCTTCATTGTGAGAGGAAAATAGGAAAATGTTATGCAGCCAAGAAGGACAAGTAGATTATTAGCTTTAAAACTGGTATTTGTATTCTCTTCCTTGTAATTCTATGCTATTTTCCTAAATATGATCGACTATCTTACACAAGTGAGTTCTGTGCATTATTTTCGAATCTGCATTCTGGCATTATCGATGTGATGTATGATTAATAATAAAGAAAAACTAACAAGCACACAAGAAAATTTTAAGTGACCTACCACTTCTCATTATGCTGACTCCACAGTTTCCCTTTTCAAATTTCACTCCTTCATATTTGTACCCTGTTGAAAAGACATACACATTCTTTATACTCTTATAAAGAATTCTTTATTCTTATAAGAATAAAGAAGTTTCTCCAGGAGTTGGTATTCTTCATGTTATTCAATAGTAAACCTAATAAATTCATTTCCCAGACAGCTTTTACTGCAATGACATGTTTAAATAAGAAAACACGAGGTCCTGTAAATTTGGAACTAACCAGTCACAGAAAGGAGAATACTGCAATGATTGGCCTTCAGTGACAAGAAATAACATTTAACTTAAGATGCACTTTCATTGCAAAAGTTTACAGATATTTCTTTTCAAGTGATGAGGTTTAGTCCATACTTTTTTGGGGATACACACAGAGAAAGAAAAACTTGCTGAATTGCTGTTGTTGAATAATTAGTTGTGTGTGTCTTTCATATTCTGACTCTAAATCAGAAATCTGAGGAAAGAATCCAGTCACATCTGCAAAGTAGTACCAAATTAACTACGGTTTGGAAGCTCCCTGACTTGTTTCCTAAGCCCTCCCCAGCTTTCCAGGAGGTTTGCTCTGCAAAACTGTAGCCTGCATGTAGGAACAAATCAGGGCAAGAAAGCTATTTTAGGCTAATGCATGGAGCAAAATTCCAGGCAAAATTAAGGGAACAACTTTATTTATTTACAGACTATTGTTCCAGTCATATGCTGTAGACTCTGGCTAGATAATGCAGCTGGTTCAGCCATTTCTGCCAGCATGAAAAGCCAACTGATTGAATGTAATAGTGCTTCTTGCTTAGAAATACAGCTTATGATTTTGAACATCTGAAGCTAATTAATACCTGGCCACATCAGGAACAACAACAACAAAAAAAACACATAGCCAATGAGCCGAGGTGTCGCAGCAGTTAGAGTGCAGTACTGCAGGCTACTTTAGCTGACTATGTTCAGCAGATCAGCGGTTCAAATCTCACCGGCTCAAGGTTGACTCAGCCTTCCATCCTTCCGGGGTAGGTAAAATGAGGACCCAGATTGTTGGGGGCAATGTAAATATATATATAGATTGCTTACTGGTGTACACCGCTTAGAGAGTGCTTGCACTTAAAGCGGTATATAAGTCTCATAAATAAATAAACCTGTCCATATCTGTATGAAAGATCTCTAGGGAACCCCAGGCTTGTATACCAGGCTGAGAAGTCAAAATACTATTAGAGACCTGGGTAATTGCAAAGCTACATGGTTTCCAAGAAATCGAGAAATCTCCAGGAAGAGTGCTCTACCTAAAAGGGGTTTTATTTTCACCTTTACCGTTAACAAGATACAAAGTAAGAATTACGATGGAACTGAAAGATAAAAGTGGATCAGAATATTTTGAAATCTGGGATAAATTGTACCACTGGTGGGAATCGAGGCGGACTGTTGGGGTTATAGATTAGCGACAAGATGGAAATATATATATATATTCTTAGGTTAGCAAATAGAGAAAAAGTATTTAGTATTGTATAAAAAGTTTATATATATTTATAGAGATAAATAATTGAATTTAAGAGGAGAAATAATTTGATAGAAATGTTCAAACTGGAATGTTACGTCATGTCCAATGTTTTCTTTTTTTTCTTTCTTTTAATTGTATTATAAATAAAAAACTTTTTTTTAAAAAAAAAAGATATAAAGTAAGAAATGCAACCTTATTGCCAACTGATTCTACCTGGATCTAATCTATGAATCAGAAAACATAAAGCTCTTGCTTACATAAAAGCTCTCAAACTATATCAGAAGGACATATTGATACAAAATAAGTGAATGTATCATCTCCTTGCTAGTTAATTATAGTTGCAACATTTCTCAAACCCACTTGAATGAAATCTAGGATGAGATGCACAATACTGCAAAGTTCCAATCAGCTGGAAACACAGCATCTCTCAGTCACAGGGTCACCATTATAATCAGTGCACATTGTTGTGTGTCTGGCCTGTTTTTTTGGTGTTGAAAAATACAATAAGAGATTGGAGAGGAAGGGTTTACAAGAGTATGTATTTACATCAGAATGTTATTTAGTCTTTATAATTTTAAGGCAATTCACAAATGCAATCTCTTTAGAAATCTACTAGTCCCACATAAATTTTGCTGTTCTTTGATGCCTGGAACAACAAAAATAAGACAAGGACAGCAATCTTTTGAGAATGTTATTTAACACTGCTGCTAGAAAGTATTCCATGTTTTGTTTAATAATTTATTTATGCTAACTGTTAAGATACCGTATCTGCTATTTTTTTTAGCCTTGTGCTAAATATAGTTCGTCCTTGGTTAGCAACAGTAATTGGCACCAGGAACTCCATCGCTAAATGACAGGGTCATAACGCACAACAGCACATGACTGCATCCTCTTCTGATGGCAATTCCAGTCATTAGGTGGTTTAAGCGTGATGTCGTTTGCAACCTTCTGCCAGCTTTGCCACTGACTGCTTGTCTGAAACCTGTAGTGAGGATTGCAAATGGTGATCACATGACTGTAGGGTGCTGCAACAGTCTGCCAGTTGCCAAGCACCTGAACTGTGACCCATGATTGTGGGAACTCTGCAATGGCCACAACTTCAAGGACCAGACACGTCTCCTCATTCAGCAGTCATTAACCAGGGACTACCTGTATATAATTTGGCCTGGGACACCCCCACACTTGGGGAGCTCCTCCCTTCTTTTACCTGTTGGAGTGGTCACTGTGCATTCTGTGTACGGTAGCCGGTTTAATCCTTCCTCAACCACCAGTCTGATCTGCAAGAGGCAAAATTCAAATAATCACAGCAAAACCAAAGTTTCAATAAAAGCATTTCTCGCTTTTATAGTAAGCAGAATTTGTTTCCTCCTTAGTCTAAAGTAAGCTTACAGGGAGTCCTCCACTTACTACCAATTGTTTAACGACCATTACAAAAGCCTCAGGAAAGGTGCTTTATGGCCATTAAGCATTTCCAATCATCGGAAAATGTTGCCCTCACCCAGCAGTCGTAGTCATGTCAGCGCCGGAAGTCACAGTCATGTTAGCGCATCTTGGGCATTTGGTAACTGACTCACAGGAGCCGCTTCTTTTGAAGCTGATCTCTTCTAGGCAGTGGCCCTGATGGTTTTAACTCACAAACATTAAGCCCAAAGTTCTTAAAGCTATAACTAAAACTATAACTGAGCTTACGAGGCATGCCCAGTCTGGCCCTTTGCAAAGAAAAAGAAGGAAAAAGGGCTAAATTTTTGAATTTGGAACCGAAGGTGGTTCACGCAGTTGTGGGAAAGTAAGGACAGCTCTTTCCCCCCCCACCCTTCTTCTTTCAGCAGGAAGCCAGCTGCAGTCCTCCAGCCCCACACAGGAAAATGGGGAAAGGGCATTTAAGACACTGCAGCTGAGTGGCTGCCTTTTTCTTCTTGGTAAAGTGTCAGGCTGAGTTGAAGAAAACAGCGAAAGTCCTTGGGCCCAGGGCAGGGCAGGGAGGGCAGCTGGGCTGGAGCTTCTCAAGCATTAGAGGCTTGAGGAGAAGGCTGCTTCCCACTCTTGGTGTCTCCTGGCCTTTGGAACTGGCTGTGAAGCAGCTGCTTTGTGCCCTGCAGTCATTGAACAAGCGGTCACAAGTTGAGGTCTAACTGCATAGGACAGCCACAGTGGTGAATAAATAGAGAATATCTTGGAGGATTTGCTCCACATTTATTGGCATTACTGCTGAACCAATAAAAACAACAGCATTTATTTATTTATTTAAACTCTTTGATTCTAGAATCTTTCAAAAGGCAATAAAACAAGATTTCCAAAAGACTTGTTTGAATGATGACTTTTAGCACGTTCAATTGTATTCACAGAGGAACCATCTCCATGAATCAACTAGTGCTATTTATCAAATGGAGAAAAATATATAGATTCCAGGTAAATAGGTATTTCCTAGAAAACTGGCATTGAAAAATACAGTGATAACTCCAATACTTTAAGACTGGTTATATTAAGTAAAAACACCAACTGATTCAGAATCCGTTATATTCTTGAATATATATCCTAAAGATTTATGTTTAAATTGTTACGTGGAAATATTTTACTTGTAAAACAAGCAAATGTATCTTGCCGCTGGGAAAATAAAATTCTATTTTTAAAACATAGTATTTCATTTTGAATTCAAATTTTACATTAATAAATCTCACTGAACTTTGATGGAATTACGATATATAAACAAGGAACGTGGTTGGTCACGTGTTTAGGAGCCCACATTTGAGACCTGAATGCTGCTGCGTGGCGGGGTGAGTTCCCATCATTTGTTCCAGCTCCTTGATGGGGACATTAAAGCAGCCTTTACGGGTGTCTCCTGGCAACAGTGATGTCACCAGCTAATTATTTCAATCCAGAAGCACCCTAAACCAGAGGCCCCCAGCCTTTGGGGCACCAGGGACCGGTTCCGCGGAGAGAGGTTTTTCCATGGACCGGAAGGGGCGTGGCTTTGTGTGCTGCCTGCATCCCATGGATGGAGCTTTGCTTCTTTATGCGGACCAGTTACTGGTATGCCGCGGCCTGGTACCAGTCCATAGACCAGCCTGACATAAATGGGGAATGGGACAATGTGAAAACAACATAATAATGTAACTATACCATTAATGTTAATGACTGATTTTTAAATAATCTATAAGTTTAAAGATGAAGTCATGCTAATAATACCTTCATTAATGAACACAACATAGTGCATGAAAAATATGGCTTACCAAGCGATCAGCAGAAAATACGAAGTCCCCTCTACTGGCGGTCCTGAACAAAAAGCAGTAAGAAATCAGTTTTATTAGGGATTCAACTTAGGTTAGTTATCCCAGAATATTTAATATAATTAAAGTGTGACACTAGGAACGTGCACATTTTTTATCTATTTTATGAAAGAATGTCTAGACTTTACATTTAAATCTGATATCACCAAGGCCCTTCAACATTAATCATCATAGCAGCCACCAATACTGACAGAGAAAAACTCCATTAAAAAGATTCACTGAAGTCATCCTGCTCTGGAATCTGGAGCTTTTTATTTATTTCTTTGGCCGACAATAAGGAGACAGGATTATCTGTAAGTATGTCAACAAAACTCTACATATATTTTAAGCCTCTCCCCCCAAAAAAACCTCAAAAATGAGCAGCATGGTAAGTTTAATAAAGAAAACAAAATGGATCTTGCATTTCTCAAAGCTCAGTAACATTCCATACCTCTGCATTTTATTGAAATTAGCTTCTTTTAATGCTTCTAATCAGACTTAAAGAATCTGACAAAAATACATCATTTATCTTTCTGAAGCCTTTATTCATTATTTTAAGATATGAAAAAAGTTTGCAACAAACAAGCTGCTGTGGGACATTCTCAAATAGCAAATCACCTTTCATGTTACCAATTGTACACGCAGAATAGAACAGAACAGAAACAAATAGAATAGAACAGAACAGAAACAGAAACAAATAGAACAGAACAGAATTCTTTACAGGTCAAGTGTAATTGGACACGCAAGGAATTTGTCTCCAGTGCATAGGCTCTCAGTGTACATACAAGCAACAAGTGATAAATCATGATCATAATCATAAAATACAATCATCATAAATCGTAATACAACACCCAGTGATAGTCATAGGATACTAAATAAGCCATCAACATAAATCATAATAGGATACTAAATAAAAACAACATAAATCATAAGATAACAAACAACAAAATTGCAATCATAAGAAGCTAAGGAAATAGGTAACAGGAAAGATGAGACTATAGCCCAACTAGGTGGTTTGGACAACTAGGTGCATTTCATTATGTAATATAGCTCAACTAGGTGGTTTGGATGACCCATAGCTAATCTGGTTCCCTGAGGAGGAGGCTACCTTGTATTATACCGTCATAACTCCACAGATTTTAAAGCCTTGTTAACATTCTCAAGCTTCCATGGAATTGTGACTGTAGGTGGCAATAGCGGCAAGCTGAGACAGAATATATGTTCCCTCATTTCAAACACAATCTGTGTTCACAAAGGAGATCTATGCCTTCCTTTCCATATATAAAGAAGTTTTTAAAAAATGAAAAAGAAAAAAAGAAAAAAAAAGAAAAAAAAGAAAAAAAAACAGCAGAAGCTGGGAAAAGCCAATCACTAACACTTGTTCTCCCCAGTTTCTGATTATATTTTGGAATCGTCATGGAATCTGAAGAAAAGCAAAGTAATTTAAAACGGATAACAGTAGTTTATTTCTGTAGGCATAGGTAAAAATAATTACCAGTAGTAGGATTTCATATTACAGTGTTGATTTTTTTATTGTGTGGTTTTTCCATTTCTCTTCTAATTATAAATCTGAGCTTTATATCCAACATACATCAAACTCAGACAAGGTGTACAGGGTTATTAATTATATTAAAATATATATTTTTTCTGGGATAAGTTGACTCCTGTTTCCAATGCCAGGAGAAAATTTGCAGTAGACCAGTGCTGTCGGATCTTCAAAGTAGGTCAGACTTGAATACTAAAGTCATGTAGACTAAAACTACTTTTATTATAGGGTTACAGCAGGGGTCTTCAAACTTGGCCCTTTTGTGACTTATGGACTTCAACTCCCAGAATTCCTGAGCCAGCTGGCTCAGGAATTCTGGGAGTTGAAGTCCATAAGTCACAAACGGCCAAGTTTGAAGACCCCTGGGTTACAGTAACAGACTCTTGAAACTCTGAATGTGCCTCTCCCTTCCACGCCTTTATCCTAAAGAGGAAGGCCCTGTCTAAGATGCTTTCTCAAATTCCATTCCTCCTTTGGACTCTACTTACTTGACCGTTGCCTTGGTTACAGCTCTTCCTCCTCTTCCTCAAGGTTATTCCCATAGGCCCTTACAAGCATCATCTTGTGATCTGTCCAGAGCATCACATTATCTATTCTGTAGTTTCTCTTTACTCACCCCGGCTGCTTGCATTTAATTATGTAAGTTGGGATTTCTGCATTTTAGAAGTTTGATTTTGCTCATGACTTGTGAAATCGGTTTATTTCCCAAGGAAGAGTTAAATTGCATTACAGCCTTTTTTCATTAGTACCTTTTAATTGCCAACTGGACAGCACAGGCTGTGAGAGCCAGATCTTCCACCCATGTCAGGATAAGGGGAAGGATGTCAGGAAAGGCACTGATAGGTGGTATTAACCAACCCCCAGCAGGAGCCAGAACAAGGGGTGAATATTCAGAGGGTTTCCAAAGGAGGTTTCAGACCACCAAAATGCCACTCTATAGGCTGAGCCAATCTGCTGCATACAGAATCTAACTAAATCATTCTGCTGTCAGAACAATTCAGTAGTAAAATACCCTCTTAAGTTTCTCCCTCTATCAAAATCAGTTCTAAAGAGTTGGAACATTCTCTGGAAGGCCAAGAATTACAGTGGGAGAAAAATCTGATTGCACAATTATTCTGTCTCATTAGTCTAAGCTTTTTTCTTTTCAGCAGCATAGTCGGAGCAGAAATTATAATTACGAAGGATTGCTTCTAGAAAATCTAGAGATTACAGGTCTCTAGGAATGAGATGCTTTTGTGGGAAGTCAAGAATGGCTTTCAAGATAAGGAGCTTTACACAGAAAGTATCAACTTTAGTACATCATAAACTTCTAACAAAGGTTAACAATCAGATATATAACAGCTTAAAGGCTGAGGTTCTTTTGCAACAAATTGTTTCAAGCCTGCTTCTTATACTGGGCAGTTGGTCACACCTGACATATGCTTACAAAATGATACTATCTGTCAAGCGTTGGGGAAATCAAGAGATCCAGACAGCTCAAATGAGTATAAAGATTTGTTGCAAACTTAAGTTCTCTACAAGAATCTGACCAACTAAGGTTGAGGGAAATTAATGGTAGATAAGAAAGGCATTCAAGGTGGGCTGGATTTAGATCTCTTGTGGGGTTGCAGGGACTCATAACTTATGACATGTTTGACCCCTCCCTCGGGCTCAGCCTGGTCATCTCCTACACTATCTGGTCCTGGATTCCTTGCTTCCTGCTCCAGACTCCTCCCGCCTTCTTTTTTTAAAGGACAGTGACGTTAATAGATATTCTCCAAGAATTCCAATTGTAATATAGATTCTGACAGATCTAAAGCTTAAATCTGATTCATTTTTTTTAAAAAAGCAAAGAATTTGCAATTAAAGTAAACAGAATTTTTAAAGAAGTGCTAAGTAACCTAAAACAATCATTGGCACAATAGAAACATAGAGTCCCCCTCCCCCATGTTTGTGTTCAGTCAGTTAATTATGGATTTCAGTAATAGACACATACCGTTTCCGAGCTGCTTCTATGGAAACCAGCTCCCAAAATCAGCTGCCCCAAATCTCCTTTTTATTATTGTAAACTGCTGCAGTGTTACCATTAGCCTTGAAATCAAACAGACCAACCTCTGCTCAAATATTTCATGAAATTTATTGGCCTCACAAAGATCAACGTACTGATGTAAATAAGAAACACCAATATTTATTTATTTATTGAACATACTAATATGGCTGCCCATCTATCAAAGGCACTTGGGGTGTTGGACAGTTAAAAATGAAACAGAAACACAATCCAAAGCATAAGTGGTAGTGATCTCCTGAGCAAATGCACCTCACCCATATCAGATCTCCAAGGCCTGGGAGAATAACCAGGTTTTCACAGCTCTATGAAGGTTGCCCGTATCTCAAGGACGATATTTGATGTACAAGACAGGTGCCGTGGGAAAGGAGGCAGTTTTCTGAGGACCTACCAAGTGATACTGCCCCAATGGGAGGCAGAAATATTTGGAAAGGCAGTCCCACAAGTAACTTGGCCCCATCTCATGCAGAGTAGGGGTGTCAAACTCAATTTCATTGAGGGCCGCATCAGCATTGCAGTTGCCTTTGGGGGGCTAGATGGGTGCGGCCAGGGTGGGTGTGGCCTATTGGGTGGGCATGGCCAGCTCTACATCGTTTGCGTCAAGGGTGCCTGTGGGGGCCTGGGCAGGAGTGGGACAGATCTGAGGGTCTCTGGCAGAAAGGGGTGGAACCAGGGCAAGTGCCAAGGCATGGACCACTGGAGGAGCCTCACTGCCTGCTGAAACCCCTCCGCCCATCAAGCTGGATATGTGAAGTAGGTGAGGGCCATTTGCTGGCCAATTCTAGGCAATGGTGCATTTCTTCATTCCTCACAACGGGTGACACCTCCCCAGCATGCACCCGGGGGCGGGGCCAACACGGTAGGGGCTGGTTCCTCACTGTTTCCAGATGGCCTTGTGGAGCTAAGATTGAATGCATTTCAGCATAGATGGCCACCACAAAATTGTACATTGGCTCCCGGCCGGCTTGGGCCAGGGTCAAGTCAGTGGGGACCGTTTCTCACTGTTTCCAGGATGGCTTCACGGGCCACATGAAACCACTTCACAGGCCGCATCCGGCCCCCGGACCTTGTATTTGACATGTTTGATGTAGAGCTTGAAAAATGATAACCAGGACCTTGACCTATCACTTTCTCAATGACCTTTGTCAGAAAGGCAGGTTTAGAGACTAAATGAACATTATTTAGTACTGTACCATAGTTCTAAGGATGGCCTCCCACAAAAACATCCAGTTGGTATTGCTGCTGATATGGTACTTGTCTACTAGTCTTTAGCTGGCTTCCTCCCAGTCCCTATAACTTCAGTCGAAAAACATGTGTTCAGCAGTGTTGCTGCACTGCTGATGGTTCTCTACAGGTGCTGTGTCATTGTCACTCCAGACCATCAAACCTCCACTGGTCGCCTGACATGCTCCTGCTG